CCCACCTGAGAGAAGCAGGGGACTGTCCCTCTCCCGTGTTCATGGTGAAGGTGCTCAGCAAGAGATCGCTGTGACTTAGCTCCTTGAGGGGCGGGGCCTGGAGAGCAGGTGGCCCTCGAGTCTGTGGCAGCCTCAGAGGACAGGTGTGGGGGGGGTCACGGAGGACCCCCTGGGGCACAGCCAGAGGTGCTGACTGCGGTCAGGGCGGGCAGCTGGGGGTCAGACTCCCCAGTGTGAGCTGTTGTGACAGCGCCCCAGCCGGGCCCTGCTGGCTGACGGGCACGAGGTGGGCAGAGGCCACCTAGCCCTGTGGCTGGGCTCTGGCTGCTGAGACGGCCTTGGCATGGCAGCAAAAGCGGGCGGTCTGGGGTGCCTGCCCCAGCACTCAGGGCACTTCCAGCCTCGTCCTTCACCCTCTCCTCTCTTCCCTGTTGCCTCAGCCCAGTTTGGCACCCAGGGCCTCTCCGCCCGCCTGGAGTGACCCTTCCCGGGAGGGGGGACTCTGCCCTGCCTGGCGCAGGGCGGAGGAGGGGAGGGCGTGTGCCAGGTCACTGCTGAGTCAGCGTCCCGCCCTGAAGGTGGGGTCTGAGAGTCCAGGGACCCGGGGGAGGGGCTCTCAGGGGTTCGTCCTGGCCTGGACCTCCTCGGGGCACTTTGTGAGGGGCCACCTCTTTGTCCCTTCACCGGGCGCCTTCCCAGCCCCATCTCCAGGGTAGCCGGTGTGTCTGCTCCTGCCGAGGGGGCTGTGGAGGCCGCTGGGGGGCGGTCGGCGTCGCTGAGGTGCTGGCCCACGTCGATTGCGGGGTGGGGCTCTGACTCACGACCAGGCCCTGCCTCAGCCCGCTGACTGGCTGGCGGCCTGGGTGGGGGGTGCTGAGCCCGTAACCGGCTCTCCTGAGAGCTGAGGCTTCCGGCTGAGTCACCCGGAAGGGAGGGGCTCCAGGTGAGGCTGGGGCTGAGCTGTTCCCGCCTCACTTCCTGCTCAGAGCCCCACCAGGTGGGGGGTGGGGCTCCAAGGTGACTCCGACAGGTCCGACCAACCCGGCAGGCCAAACCCAGGCCGGCCCCTGGCCCAGAGCTGCCAGCCAGGCCGCCCAGGGCGCACGGAGGGGCTCTTTCCACCAGGAAAACCCACCTCCGGTGGCCCAGCTCTCTCTGCACCGGCGGGCAGAGGATATGGAGGGCACGTGGGCCCCACAAGAAGGCGCAGGGCTCCCCTGAGGTGTGCGCACCCAGGGGCCAGGGCCAGACACCCGCCCGGCTCCTCTGCACAGACAGCACCTGAGCAAACACACAAGCAGGGACAAGCCTTGTGGCAGGGCCCAGACACACACATGCACACGCACACGCACACACGCAGGCCCAGGCTGGCCCAGCTGTCTGCGGTGACCGGCGGGACCCAGTGCTGGGTCCGCAGTGGGCGGCTGCCCCCACAGCACGGCCCGCACCCCACACAGCGCCTGGGATGGGAGCAGGCCCGGGTCGGAGTCGCCGGGCCGCGCCTCGCCAGGCTGGATTTTCCTGCAGGCCTCTGGGTTTTGTTTTGATCCGCTGGAGCGCTGGCCGTGCGCCAGACACCCTGCCAACACGGGCCGCGTGTGCGGGGTTGTTTTGAGCAAGCGCTGGGTAAGTGTGGGTTATTATGTACATTATTATTTACATACATAATCTCACTTCTTCTCATAACAACCCGATGAGACAAAGCACTATTATCCCCTTTCACAGATAAGGAAAGTGAGGCCGAGGTGCTGTCCCGGTGGCACACGCGCAGGAGGTGCCCGCAGTATCTGACCCGAGGCTGCCCTCTCCTCTGTCTTGCCCAGACTCCGCCCCACTGGCCCTGCTGCTGGGTCAAGGCCACAGGGCCGGAGGGACTGCAGTGGCCTCAGACATGGGGCCTTGGGTCTGAGGGCTGAGAGGCTCAGGGCAGGGGACAAGAAGAGCACCCCCAGACAGGAGGGCCGGTGTCAGGCCCCTGCACCCACTGCGCCAGGGCATTTCCCCTATTCTGGCCGGACTGGGGCGCCCTTGAGCTCTTGTGGAGGGCTGGGCCCAACCGAGCCTGGGCTTCTGGGGCCCGCTGCCCCTCCATGCCGAGCGCCGACTGTTGGCTTCCAATCCTGCTCGCCTTCAGCTTATCTCGGGCCCGGGCAGTTCTGTGTCTGGATGGACTCTGAGAGCTAGCCGCTGTTGTCCTCAGGACTCACAGCAACAGTGTACGGCAGATAAGCATTGGTGAGTGGGAGCCAGTCTTGCTTCTAGAAAATTCTCTGGATGGGTGCAAAAGATGAGAGACACAGTAGCTGTGTGCCCTGCTCTCGACTCCTGAGGCTGCCCTGGGGTGGTGTTCCTCCGAGACTGCGGCTTGCCGAGGCCCGTCTGGACTGTCTGACAAAGGGCCCCGTGTGGCCCAGACCTGCGCTGCAGAATCACCCAGGAACTTGTAAAACTTCAGGTTCTCCGCCCAGCCCGGCCAGCAGCCCCAGCCCCATGCAGGGCCTGGCGCTGGTGTTGGGCCTTCCTGCTGGTTCTCCTGCCCTTGCAGTTTGCAGGCATCGTTTGAGGAGACTTCTTGAGTCCGCCTCCCACTCTAGTGCCTTTTTTGCTGGGGGGCTCGTGTAGGTGGTTTCATCTCAGAGTTTTGCAAGTTGGGGGGGCATCCGCCCCTGCCTCATCCTGTCCCGCCTGGTGGACCAAGCAGTGGCCCTGAGCTGCCTGCTGGGAGTCTCCTAGGGGCGTGGCTTCTCCCCAGGAGCAGGGCACACAGGTCGGGCTGCCCTGCCCGTTCCAGTGGCCCGTTGGCTCAGAGCACGAAGTACAAGCCACATAACTGGGTCCCAGCGTGGGGGGAAATTTTCAGTTGGGGTAGGTGGGGGGTGGGTGCGGGAACATTCCTTGGGCCTCCCAGCGTGTGCAGCGCAAATGGGAAGTGGTGACCAGTCCCGTGTGATTCTGGACTTGGCGGTCCAGAAGGGCCGTCCCCTCTGCAGACCGCAGCCGCCCGGGCGGCCGGCGTGGGGGCTCTGGACGGCAGGTGGGGCTCTCCCGGGAGTCCCGGTGCTTCTCCAGCGACAAGCCTGCCAGCTGCGCGTCCCCGGGGCTCCAGCGCTGCTCACTTGGCAACTGCGCTGTCCCCGCTCGCTGGCGGCTGTCCATCCCGGGTCCCCGGGTCCCTGCAGGGAGGCCTCCCCGAGTCCCACGGGGCGCTGGTGACTGAGCTTTTGTGTGTTCCCCGTCCTGGGCAGGGACGACAGTGACTTCACGTCCCCTTTCTCTCTGGCCACTGGGCCGGACAGGGCCTCTGGCCTGCGTGCGCACGTCTGTCCCCCTTCCTGGCTTAGGTCTTCCCTCTGCTCGTGACTTTGCGTCTCACCGCCGTCTTTCCTTTGTGCCTCTCGCCTTTTGTGGAGCCAGCCTGGGGGTAGGTAGCGCCGGGCTCCGCGGGCGCGGTCTGCACAGCTGCTGGGTGGCACCTTGCACTTCTGCTTCGTCAGCTCTGCCTGCGCCGTCGTGACCCTGGTCGGGACGTGCCTGGGGCTGGGCAGGGTGGCCGCTGCCTGTTTTCCTTTTCTTATCAGCTTTTTATCAGCTGTTTCAAATTTTTAAGATAATTTCTCTCCAAGCCCATTAGTAACTCAAAGCACAAACCCTCGTGGACAGATGTGTGTTGATCCCTCCCTCCCTCCCTCCCTTGTGTCTCAGTTCCTCTCACGTTACGCAAGGCTCACCTGCGTCTCGCAGAAGCCGGAGTGACAGGTGACCGGAGGGGAGATGGCCGGACACCCGTCAGGGGTTCCACTTTTCAGCATTTTGTGATTTAGCCTTTTGCATTTTTTCCTAAGTTTGTATTTTTCCAGGAAAAAAAAAAAAAACAGAACCTGCTAACTCCCCAAGCAGAACATGCTGACCCCGGAAGCCACACCCGCCGTTTTATAGCCTCCTTTTGCATTTAGTGGCAGGTGACAAGTAGCTCTTTTTATCAGCACTGACGCCACAGCATTAAAGATACTTAAAGTTTATATCCAGGGTCAGGCCATGGTTTGCATTTTTAAATCTAGAGAAGACTCAGGGGAAGCAGCCCCCGCCTCAGGGGTCCAGCCCCTTCCTGGCCCCAGGGACAGCCAGAGCTGCCGAGCCGCCCTTGCTGTTGGCTGCGCTGAGGGCAGCTTTGTTCCCGGGCGCCCTGGCTTGCCAACCTGCTGCCGAGAAAAGGCTTTGCACCCCGCCTCCACCCCAACTTCACCCCACCTCCACCCCGTCCTCATGCCCGCCTCCACCACACACTTGCTGCCGCGCATTAGCGCGATCCCTTTGTGACTGAAAGTAACATACGTGAGCGTCACCCCGGTGTCACTCACCTCTGCGTGCTGCTGAGTCACTCGCCCGAGTGCCCTCTGCTCTGAGGGGAACACCGCCCGCCCTCAGCCCCCCAGCATTGCAGTGGCCCCGGCCATGTATGCACACGTCCCGGGTCCAGGCTGATAACCGACCCGGGAGACAAGCGTAAATCTCCCTAGTGACTGAGTGGTGCCGGGTGAGACCAGCACCCACTGTTGGCTCTTGCTGCCATGCACACGGGCCCGGCCGGGTGGGGCGCGCTCCCCAGTGCCTGCTGCGGCGCTCACGTCCCCCAGGGCGCTCAGGGGACCCCGCCCCACGGCCCAGCATGTGCTCCAGGCCCGTCACCTCTCTGGGCGCCTGCTTTGTGCTTGGACCCTGCCTTCCGACCTCACTCTGCTTGTTTCATTCTGGAGCTTTTAATACAATGTCGCTTTCTCCGCCCGCAGCATCCCAGCACGTGGGGCATGTGGCTTCCCGCGCTCGTCCCGGGGTGGGACACGCGGGCGCCTGCAGCCCCGCAGGAGGAGTGGCCCTCACTGCTGGCCGCCCGCCCCGCCCCCGCCTTGCCCGCCCGCCTTCCACCGGAGCCGGCTCTTCTCGAAATCATGTCGGGGCTTCCCGGGGGAGGGGGCCCCGCTGAAGTCGTCTTCTTGTCCCAGGCTCTGAAAAGCGGCCGTTCCTCAGATTTGAAGCCGAAAACTTCTCCAACTACACGGCCCTCCTGCTGAGCGGGGACGGCGCCACCCTGTACGTGGGCCTGCGAGAGGCCCTCTTCGCGCTCAGCAGCAGCCTCAGCTTCCAGCCGGGGGGAGGCTACCAGCAGGTGAGGGAGGGGCCGGGCTGGGGCGGCCGGGCGGCCTCGGGGTCTGAGGAAGATGCTGACAGGAGAGGAGGGGCTTGGGGGCGTCGGGGTGGGGGGGCTCCATGCCCTCCCCGCCCCCGTGCACACCACCCCGCCCGTCCCCAGCTGCTGTGGAGCGCCGACGCGGACCGGAAACAGCAGTGCAGCTTCAAGGGCAAGGACCCACAGGTGAGCTGGCCGGGGAGGCCGCCTGGGCCGGGGGACGGGCCCAGGACAGGCGGCAGGCGGGGGCAGCGGCGTCAGCAGCCGTGCTGGAGCAGCGAGCCGAGCCTCAGCGCCAGCCCCGTGCGCATCCTCCGCGACCGTGCCCAGAAGCCTTGCTGCTGCCCGAGCCCTCGTCCCCCCCTGTAGGAGGGGGACACCGGCGCCTGGCAGGGCCTCGCTGTGCGCCACCGCGCGCCACCAGGGACGCTGAATGAGGCTCCCCGCGTGACCAGGGCCGGGCGGGCCTGGTGGATTCCGCCTTGGCGGTGGCTGGTCCAGCCTGGGGGGCGCCCCAACATTCCCAGAGGCCTCCTCAGCCCGAATGTAGCTGGTGGCAGCGAAGGTGAAGGCAAAGGGCCCTGGAATGAGGGCCAAGACTCTGCTCCAGGCCCCTGCTGTGGCCTCCTTCGGGAACGTCACTGAGCCGGGCGCTGGCAGCGCTGGAGACAGCCGTGCTGAAAGCCCGACGGTGGAGCGCAGGCCCCCAGGCGTGGACAGGGCGGGCCGGAGGCCGTGGCACTCGGGCCGGGTGCATCAGGGAGCGGCAGGGGCAGGAACGCGATGTGTCCTGTGCATGGAGGCACCAGGACTTCCCAATGGAAAAATTTCCTGATGGAAAATTTTTCTCCTGACTGTGAGGTTGGAAGCCTCAGCCGTCGGCAGCCGGAGGCCCCATCACGGAAGGGAGAGCGCTCTGAGGACACGCCCATCAGACACCCTCCAGGGAGCCCAAGTCTGGGCCCCTGCTCTGGGCACTGGCTTCCTCCCAGTGGGCTGGGGGGGCCCGGCAGTCTTCACTGAGGTTCTGGACAGACAGCCCAGGAGGGCGGGATTCTGGGTTCTCGCCCAGCTCGCAACTAGCTGAGCCCCCATCCCCCAGCCCACACCCCTTGGGCTCTGGAAGGCTCCTGGGTGTTCCTGGGTGGGTGAGGGAGTCCCCAGGGCCAGGCCAGGGCCCTCCGTCTGGGGAGGGCTCGGCGCCGCCCCCTGCTGGCTGGCTTGGGCCTGACCGGCTCCCTCCTCCGGCAGCGGGACTGTCAGAACTACATCAAGATCCTCCTGCCACTCAACAGCAGCCACCTGCTCACCTGTGGCACCGCAGCCTTCAGCCCCCTGTGCACCTACATCGTGAGTGCCCTCTCGACCCCACCCTGGCGGGGCGAGCGGCCCGGGGGTCAGGCTTCATGGTCACAGGAGGCCCAGACCCAGACCTGGGGGGGTGGGAGGGGCATCACCCAGCGTTCACCTCACCTGTACTCAACACCCCTCCCTTGCCTTTCTGCCCTGCACCCGCCCAAGCAGCAGGTGGTGGCTGGGGCTGTGGGCTGGCGCCCCGCTGCCGAGCCCCCGCTGGGATTGGCTCATGTGCCGCCCTCCCTGCCCAGCAGTCCTTCCTGAGCCTCGTCTCCTGGAGGCCCTGGGCCAGCAGTGGTGACCACTCTGGGAACTGCCAGATGCAGTGCCCAGGTGCTGGGGCGGCCTGGCATGTCACACCCAGACACATCCCCCCAGAGCTGCCCCTCAGCCCCTTCACCCCTCCCCGGGCCCCCTTCTCTGTGCTCACCCCGCCCTGCTCCCCCGCAGAACCTGGCGAACTTCACTCTGGCTCGGGACAAGGCAGGGAACATCCTCCTGGAGGACGGCAAGGGCCGTTGTCCCTTTGACCCCAACTTCAAGTCCACGGCCCTGGTGGTTGGTGAGTGCCGGGCAGGGCGGCGGGGGCTCCCTGAGGCTGCGCTGATTCCCAGGGGCCAGGCCGTGACCTGGGCTGCCCTGAGCTGGGCCTTTTCCCAGTTCCCACTCCCTCCTCTGCCCACCTCGAGGGAGATGGGCGGCCCTAGGGTCACCCTGGGCCCTGAGCTGGAAGAAGGGGCCGGGCCAAGCAGCCGTTCCCATGGGAATGTCCTCCTGGCAGAGGGCGAGCTGTACACTGGAACAGTCAGCAGCTTCCAGGGGAACGACCCGGCCATCTCCCGGAGCCAGAGCGTCCGGCCCACCAAGACCGAGAGCTCCCTCAACTGGCTGCAAGGTGAGGCCCCACCCCAGGGGCCATCCAGGAGCCGGGGAGGCGGCCGGGGACGTCCCTCCTGCCTGGGGTCCCTGGGCTGACTGAGCACCCGCACCGGCCCCCAGACCCAGCCTTCGTGGCCTCAGCCTACATTCCCGAGAGCCTGGGCAGCCCGCAGGGGGACGACGACAAGATCTACTTCTTCTTCAGCGAGACGGGCCAGGAGTTTGAGTTCTTCGAGAACACCATCGTGTCCCGCATTGCCCGCATCTGCAAGGTGAGCAGCTGGCCGCCGGCCCACGGCTCCCGGCCCGGGCGCGGCTGCTGCTGGCTGTGCCCTCTCCTTTCAGTGTCTCAGTGTTTGTCTTTTTTTTCTTTTTAAAGATTTATTTATTTATGCATACAAGAGCTGGGGTGCAGGCCAGAGGTGCGGGGTGGTGAGAGGATTCCCCAGAGATGGAGCGGGGAACACATCAGGCAGACTGACTGAAACCCACTGCTGAGGGGAGCTGCGGGGAGTCAGGAGGGTCTGCTGCGCCATGTGGGCAACTTCCTAGCCAGCCTGGGATGGAACTTGTGCTGCAGAGGCTGTGGACTTCTCCATAAGGGATGTGCCAAGTGATGTGCTTAACCCCTTGCGCCACCAGGGAGGCCCTCATTGTTAGTCTTACGTGAAAATTCAGAAAAATAGCCTCAAAAATCACAAGCGGGCCTCCCTGGTGGCACAAGGGGTCAATAAGCACAGCACTGTGGGGCAATCCACAGCCTCTGCAGCATGAGTTCAATCCCCGGCCAGGGAGCTACCCACATGACGGGGCAGACCTCTCCTGCTCACCCGCTGCTCCCCTCAGCAGTGGATTTCGGTGAGTCTGCCTGTTCCATTCCCCGCTCTTTCTCTGGTGACTCCTCTCTCCCCCTACCCTGCGTCTCTGGCCTGTACCCCAGCTCTTGTGTGCATAAATAAATAAATCTTCCAAAAAAAAAATATCACAAGTAAAGAGGTGCGGAGCACGGTGATGAAGGGCCGAGCCGGGACCGGGCTGTGGGCTCTGGCCCTGCGTGCTGTGCCCTGGGATTGGCACCAGTCCCAGCCCTGCTGGTCGTGTAGGTCAGATTCGCCCTTTGTTTTACGTGCCCAAGCCCACTGACACCTTGAGAAAGGCGTCACCTCGCACAGTGGCTCACCGCGCTGTCCGCTTGGAGCGTGCCTTGCCAGCCCGTGTTTTGCGGAAGCGTGACATACCTCTGTTATTTGAAAACTATTCTGAGATACAAATGACGCGGGAGGCGGCTGTTCGTGCTGCGTCCACCTGCAGATGAGGTGGACGCCAAGAGACACATGCTGTGCTTCTCCCTGTATTTCCACCAGGAGTGCCTGCGCCTCCCCTCCAGGGAGGCCAGCCAGGGCCCACCTCCCGGGTCTTGACCTCCCCTCCTGGCTGGCCCTGAGCCCAGCGCTCTCTCTCTCCAGGGCGACGAGGGCGGCGAGCGGGTCCTGCAGCAGCGCTGGACGTCCTTCCTGAAGGCGCAGCTGCTGTGCTCGCGGCCGGAGGACGGCTTCCCGTTCAATGTGCTGCAGGACGTGTTCACGCTGAGCCCCAGCCCCCAGGACTGGCGCAACACCCTCTTCTACGGGGTCTTCACCTCCCAGTGGTAGGGCCCCGGGCCCCGGCGGGCAGGAGAGGGCAGGGTGGCCAGGCCCAGGTGCGCCAGCCATGTCCTGAGCGCAGTGTCCCCTCTTTGCAGGCACAGGGGCACCACCGAGGGCTCTGCCGTGTGCGTCTTCACCATGGAGGACGTACAGAGGGCCTTCAACGGCCTGTACAAGGAGGTGAACCGCGAGACGCAGCAGTGGTACACCGTGACGAACCCTGTGCCCTCACCCCGGCCCGGCGCGGTGGGTACAGCTCCCTGCACCCTGGGCACCAGGAAGATGGGGTCCCCTGGGCTGGCACCCCTTAGCTTCTTTGAGTCTGTGCTCTCATCCTCCTGGCCAGACATGCCCTGGAGGTCAGAGGCCTTCAAGCCTGCCCCCAAAGGGCAGTGTCCCACCGGGCACTTGCCTCAGGTGGTGTCTCTGCCTCCCCCACTAGCTGCAAGCGCCTTAGTTACTGGGGGACTGAACGGCCTGGCCGCGGTGCATGGTCTGTCGTCTCTCCTGCCAGCTGAGTGGTTGCCCCCCAGAGTCAGCCTTGAGACGAGGCTGAGAGCCAGCAGGTTTTGTGGGGGCGGCCCAGGAAGCAGTGGGCAGGCACAGGAAGGAGCAGAGTGGGGACAGAAGCAGGAGAGGGTCTGAGCAATCAGCCGTGCCCTGGTGCCCCCACGCACCTTGGCTTGAGGAGCACAGAATCACCCCACAGGATGTTCTCACTGAGCCCTGTGCCTGCTGGGCCCCGTCAGCTGTCAGGGCTCATATACAGCTCCCTGCTCCAGCAGAGAATCTGGAAGCCCCAGGAGCTGACGACTATCCGAGGCCCCTCCCGCCCCCTGCACTAGCCCAGCCTTCCTGTGCACCCAGGGGCAGGAGGCTACTGGAGCAGGGAGTGTGGTCCTGGTTTTTGAGGCTCATGGAGGTTGGGGGTGAGGGGTGGCAGGCAGGGAGGAGGCACACAAAGAAATCCTGCCTGCCAGGGTGCCCCCCACCCCGGGCTTGGCATCTGGGACCCCAGATCGGCCCCTCGTCTCTCCGCCGACCTGCAAGTGAGGCTCAGACAGAGGCCCCTGCCCTGACCGTCCACAGGGGAAGCAGGGCCAGTGCGGCCGGCCATTCCCCAGAATCCCTGCCCTGGCCTGCGTGCCTCTGGCCTCACGCATGTCTCCCCACCACCAGTGCATCACCAACAGTGCCCGCGAGAGGAAGATCAGCTCGTCCTTGCAGCTCCCCGACCGGGTGCTCAACTTCCTCAAGGACCACTTCCTGATGGACGGGCAGGTGCGCAGCCAGATGCTGCTGCTGCAGCCGCAGGCCCGCTACCAGCGCGTGGCCGTCCACCGCGTCCCCGGCCTGCACCGCACCTATGACGTCCTCTTCCTGGGCACCAGTAAGTGCCCCGGCAGGCAGGCCCCCAGCAGGGCATGGCCGGGCCCCGTGGCCAGCAGGGTCTGAGCGCTGTCCCCCACAGGTGACGGCTGGTTGCACAAGGCGGTGGTGGTGGACTCCCGCGTGCACATCATCGAGGAGCTGCAGGTCTTCCCCGCAGGACAGCCGGTGCACAACCTGCTGCTGGACACACACAGGGTGAGCGGCCACCCCTCTGCTCTGGCGGGGTGGAAAGGTCATGGCAGGAACTCTGGGAAGGTTGGGCACCAGGAGCATGAGCAGGAGTCCCGGGCGGCTCTGGGGTGGCCCCGGCTGCCCGTGCGGGCTCTCACCCATGTCTGGCCGGCAGGGGCTGCTGTACGCCGCTTCCCATTCGGGCGTCGTCCAGGTGCCCGTGGCCAACTGCAGCCTGTACCGGAGCTGCGGGGACTGCCTGCTGGCCCGGGACCCCTACTGTGCGTGGAACGGCTCCAGCTGCAATCCCACTAGCCTCCACAAGCCCGAGACGGCCTCCAGGTAAGAGTCCTGCCCCCCTCCCACCCCCCCGCACCGCCCGGCTCCTCGGGCGCCTTCCCGGGGTCTCGCGGCCTCCCCCGCGGCTTCGCCGCGCCATGGTCAGTGGTCAGCGTGATATTAACGAGCCCCCTCTGGCTCAGACGTGTCTCGGCCCAGACAGTAGGTCGGGGCCCGCTCTCCTCTGCGTGGCCGGGACATGGGAGGCGCTGGGCTGGCGTGTGACCGCGGTCAAGGAACCAGAGGCGAGGGCCCCACAGTTTGGTTTCCCGGTAGCTGGCTTGGATGCTACCGTGCTCATTTAGAAAACAGGTAAACACCAAATCAGAACCCCGAGTCCTACCACCTGGAGCGTCGCCGTGATCTCCGGGGTGTAACGCAGACGTGGAGAATAAGCAGACACTTTGACTGCAGGTGGACCTATCCCATCTGTGCTTCCTCGCTTCACCCAGGGGTCCCCGGTGCTCAGTCCCATACGCCCCCCCCCCCCCGGGAGGGCCTGTGCCCCCTACAACCTGGCAGCTCATGATTCTGGGGTCTCTAGCCCTCGCGCCTGCTCGAGTTGTTCAGGTTTCCTCGGTGCGTCTGGAATGACTTTCCTTTGTTGCTGTATCTTACCTGACAAGAGCCTGAAGATGCACATTGTTTTAAGAGACAATGCAGAGATCGGGCAGGACTTCCGGGCTTTTCCTAAGGCTCACACTGGCTGTGTTATTCGGGAAAGTATTGTTGTGGCTTTTATTTGAAAATCAATACTGCATCGACAGGAGGTGCTGGTTCAGACCCCGCAGGCCTGGGGGTTGGCACTGGCAGGCCACCTGTCTTTCACCCCCGTGTGGGGCTGGGCCTGTCTGCACCGAGGGGGGAGATGTGGGTACACAGGGGCTCCAGGCCCATCACAGACTCTCTGGTCCTCAGGCCATGGGTCCAGGACATCGAGGGGGCTAACACCAGGGGCCTCTGCAACGTGACCAGGCCCTCGTCTCGTAAGGCAAAGGGTGAGCGCCCCACTGGGGACAGAGGCGAGGTGGGGGCCAGGTGGGCGCTGGGGTGGGGAGATGCCTTCCCTCACACACCCATCCCCCCAGCAACACAAGCAGGGCCCTGGAAGTAAACTCGCAGCCCCCGAGGTCCCCTGGCAGCATTGCCCCATCCCAGCCCCAGGACCGGTCCGGGAGGTGGGTGAGCCGGGGCCACCACGATCCCCGCCCCCTTACCCTGTCTCTTCCGCGCGCAGGTGAGAAGCCTTGCGAAAGAGTCCGCTTCCAGCCCCACACGATGAACACCTTGGCCTGCCCCCTCCTTTCCAGCCTGGCCAGCCGGTTCTGGCTGCACAACGGGGCCCGGCTCAATGCCTCGGCCGCCTGCCACGTGCTGCCCACCGGGGACCTGCTGCTGGTGGGCGGCCAGCGGGAGCTGGGGGAGTTCCAGTGCTGGTCGCTGGAGGAGGGCTTCCAGCAGCTGGTGGCCAGCTACTGCCCAGTGGTGGTGGACGAGGCAGCCGACCACGACGACCGGAAAGGCAGCGTGCCCGACTTCATCAACACGTCGCGGGTGAGCGCCCCGGCCGCCGGCCCCGCCAGCTGGGGAGCGGGCAAGTCCTACTGGACCGAGTTCCTGGTGATGTGCACACTCTTCGCCTTCGCCGTGGCGCTGCTCGTCTTGTTCCTGCTCTACCGGCACCGGGGCAACATGAAAGTCTTCCTCAAGCAGGGTGAGTGCGCCAGTGTGCACCCCAAGCCCCGCCCCATGGCGCTGCCACCTGAGACCCGGCCGCTCAACGGCGTGGGCCCCCCGAGCATCCCGCTTGACCACCGAGGTTACCAGGCCCTGTCGGATAGCTCCCCGGGGCCCCGGCTGGTCACCGAGTCCGAGAAGAGGCCGCTCAGCCTGCAGGACAGCTTCGTGGAGGTGTCCCCGATGTGCCCCCGGCCGCGGGTGCGGCTCGGCTCCGAGATCCGGGACTCTGTGGTGTGAGAGCAGGCGAGGCGGCCCCCCGGCCTCCGGAGCCTGAGCACGACAGCTCAGCTGAGCCTCTGCCCCGGCGGACGCCCGGTGGCGCCTCGTCCTGGGGTGGCGGAGCCGCTGCCCCACAGCTGGGTAGCGCGGCTCCCGCTGTCCAGACTGGCCGGAGGCCCTGGTGGAGATGGGCGCCTGCCCAGGCTCAGCAGCGCTCCATGAAAACCGAGCCCTTCGTTGAAAATGTGAAGGCAGAGGACGGCGCGAGCAAAGCAGCGGGGCCGGCCGTGGCAGAGCCCTCCCGGTCGCCGCCCGGCCCGGGCCTTGGGGCCCATCCACAGGCGAGCTTGAGATACTTGTGAACCCCCAACAGATGGCCTCTGCCCCGCCTGAGCCTGCGCCAGCTGACCTCACAGGGGCCGGGGCCCACGGAGCCCCAGGGTCCTCCTTGCCACCTGGTGGTGGCCGTCACCCCATCACCTCAGGGACCAGAGGACTAGGTTGGCAGGCAGCCCTCACCAGGCCCCGGGCTCCGACCTACCTCCTGGGCATCTCTGACCCGCGTTGGCTGTGGACACCGCGGGGCCACTCTGGGCCCAGGATGACCGTTGGCCGAGTTCTCGTGGTTCAGGGAAGACACACTCCCGCCCTCCTGCGCTCCAGCCCAGGGCGCCCCGTCTCTCCCCACACCCGCCCTCATCTTGAGCCCAGTCACCACACCTTGTCTGCTCCCCCAAAAGATACACTGCCCAGGACTTAGCACTGACTTTATGTGGGTTTTATATTTTTTTTAATAAAATGCACTTTACTTTTTTTTTTAAATAAAATCTAAATAAATGAATCATGGCCCTTCCTCAGAGGAGTGTTGCTTTCTGAGGCTGGTCTAGTTCTGAGTTTTAGGGGGTCCAAGCCCCGCTTTCCAAAGGCTGATGGGCCACCTCTGCCTCCGAGAGCAGCGCCTCCCCCAGGCGGAGCCGGCACAGACTGGTGGACAGCAGCAGCCTCCTCTACTCCGTGCCCGTCAGCCCGGGGTGGACAGGGCCCCCTCTCCTCTGTGCCCGCTCAGCCCGGGGAGGAGCACCAGGGACAGAGCCTTTTATTTTTTCCAACTTACAAGTTAAATGTTTTCAAAATATAATAAAATTGATTTTTCTCTCCCGGCGTCGGCTGTGTGCGTGCTGACCACCAGGGTCAGGTTGCCCGTGGTGCACACCCGGGGGGCCGGGGGCAGCTGGACTTCCTGTACACAGACGCCTTTAGCTCCTACTTATTCCCAGAGTGAGGCCAGTGTCTGGAGTGCCACACGCAGAGTGCAAGCCCTTTATTACTGATTAGCAGACAGCGATGACCACAGTAGTGAGGAGGGGAGAGGCCCGGGGTGGCAGCCCCTGCCCCGGTGAGGCGCAGCGCCAGCTCCGGGCTGGGCCGGCAGCACAGGCTTAGCCTTGGCCACAGCTCCACAGTGGGAAGGCTCTTCGCAGGCGCTGGGACGGCTGTGGCTCTGGTCACAGGACGATCTTGAAGGAGCTGCCGGAGAGCAGGGTGGGCGGGGACTGAGCCACCACACGCGCCCACCGCTCCCGAGGGAAGGAAGAGCCGCCCGGGGAGCCCTCCCGGCATGAAGTCCTGGGCCCAGACATGGCAGCGGGGACCGGGCAAGGCGCAGGGGCCGCCTCACACCTGGCAAAGTCCGGTGACCGGGAGATGACGTGCTGGAACTCGGAGAGGTTGATGGTCCCGTCCCTGTCGATATCCGACTCCTCCAGGATCTGGAAAGGGAGGGCTTCAGGCGGGAGTCCCCACACCACCTGCACCCGCCGGCCCGCGGCTCACATTGTCCACGAGCTGCTTCATCTCGGGGGCACTGAGCTGTGTGTCCTCGCCCTCTCCCGTGAGGCAGTTCACCAGCTGGCTCAGGTCTTCTCTGTTCAAGGTGCCGTCATCATCAAAGTCTGGAGCAGACACGGGAAGCCAGAGTGACGGAGGCTGGGGATGTGCCAAGCCGCCACCGAAGCGGCACCCCCAGAGCTCGGTGGGCTGGGTGGCCCCCCCCGCACCCCAGGGTCCCCCCGGTCCTCACCAAAAATGCGGAAGGCATAGTGGGACTTGATGTCTGGGGTGGCGTTGTCGCTGAACACACTGAGGAGGTCCAGGAAGTCCTCGAAGCTCAGGCTGTTCCTGGCTGGGGATGTGGAGAAGACCCTGCCGATGCGCTCCTTGAAGGGGTTGGCCTGGGGGAGAGCGGCCTCTGTGAGGCACAGGTCGCGCCCTCATGCCCACCGGCCGGGTCGGGGAGCGGTCAGTACCCACCCCGGGAGCTCGGGCTCCTGGGTCCACAGCTGCGGCGTGGGGCCCGGGGGCAGAAGGGGCAGGGCGGCCGCCGGGGGAGAGGACGGGACAGCGCGTTCTCGGAACACACTTGACTGACCACCGGCTGCGCCCCAGGTCCCGGGCCGGGCCTTCGCTCAGGCTTTCAGAGGCGCCGGGGAGCAGCCTCCGAGGTGAGGCTCCTGAGCTCTGACAGGCTCCGAGCCACCGAGAGGGCGCCCCGGACCCCAGGGGCAGCAGACCCGGCGGTCGGGCAGCTGGAGAAGGCCGGGACGCCCAGGCCGAGGGCGGGGCGCACCTTGAGCTCGGGCAGGCCCAGGACCTGCTCCAGGGGCAGCCGCGCCCGCAGCGACGCCTCCACACCGCGCAGCTCCGGCGGCAGCAGCTCGCAGAACCTCCGGTGCGCCCTGCGGGGGGCGCGGTGGGCGAGGGCGCGCCACGGCCCCCCCCCCACCCCAGGCGCGGGCCTCCTGCCGGCCCCCCCGCCCCCCGCCCCCCGGGACCCGCCGAGCGCGGCCGGCGCCGCCGGGGACACTCGGGAGCGTCAACGGCTCCGGCTCTGCCCGCTCGGCCGCGGGGCCCGCCGGGGCCCGGGGCGCGGAGGCCGGTCCTGCGGCGGGGCGGCCGGGCCCGGGGGCGCCGAGCGGCGGGGCGGGGCGGGGGGCTCGGGGCCGGGGCGGGCGGGGGCTCGGGGGGCTCGGGGGCTCGGGGGCCGCACTCACAGGAGGATCTCCTGCTTGGTCAGGAACGTCAGGTCCTGGGGGGCAGAGGGCCGGGTCAGCGCGGGCCCCCCGCCCCCCGGCGCCCCCCGCGCCCCGCGCCCGCGCCCGCGCGCACCTGGTACTCGGCCAGCAGCTCCTTGGACAGGCGGCTGCCCGCGCCCCCCATCGCGCGCCGCGCGCCCCGCCGACCCAGGCCCGACGCCGCCCCGGCCACTTCCGCCTCGGCGCGGCCCGCCCCGCCGCCCCGCCCCCGGCCCGGAGGCCCCGCCCCTCCCGCCCGCGCCGGGCCTCCGGGGCCGCTTCCGCGCGCGGGCTCCGGGCAGGCGCCGCCGCTGGGGCGGGCGTGGGGGCGGGGCCGGCCGCTCGGGGCGGGGCCGGCGGGGCCGGCGCGCCGGCGTGCGCCGCGCCTGCGCCTGCGTGGGCGGGGGCGGGGCCGGCGCGGAGCTGAGGGCGCAGGCGCGGCGCGCGGGAGCCGGAGCCCGGCCGGGGCCGCCTTCCCCGACGCGAGAGCCCGCGGCCCGCCGGCCCCGGCCCCGGCCCCGCGGTGAGGCCCCTTCGCGGGCGGGCGGGGCGGGCGGGCGGGCGGGGCGGGCGGGCGGGCGGGCGGGCCCACCCCTCCCCCAGGCGCGCCCCCGTGGCGCTGGCGCGGTGGCCGCGCGCGGGGAGGCGGCGGCGGGCCCGGCCGTCTCGCCCGCCGGGGGCGCGGGGCGGGGGCGCGGGGCGCGGGGCGGGGGCGCGGGGCGCGGGGCGCGGGGCGCGGGGCGGGGGCGCGGGGCGGGGGCGCGGGGCGGGGGCGCGGGGCGCGGGGCGGGGGCGGGGGCGCGGGGCGGGGGCGCGGGGCGGGGGCGCGGGGCGGGGGCGCGGGGCGGGGGCGCGGGGCGGGGGCGGGGGCGCGGGGCCGGGGCGGGGGCGCGGGGCGCGGGGCCGGGGCGCGGGGCGGGGGCGCGGGGCGGGGGCGGGGCGGGGGCTGATCTTCCGCCGCTCGGCCCCGCCCCCGCCGGCCTGCGCTGCCCGCCCGTCTCGCTTCGCGGGCGGGGGAGACGCCGCCCGGGGCCTGCGGTCGGCCCGGCTGGGGGCTGCGGGGCTGCGGGGCCGCGCGGCGCCGGGACTCACCGCCCGCGCCACCGGGGATGCCCTCGCCGGCGTAGACCTCGCTCCAGCTTGTGTCTGGCCGGACCTGAGTTGTTTTTTTTTTTAAAGATTGATTGGTTGGGGCCTCCCCGGGGGCGCAGCGGCTGAGCGCTGGGTGGCGAAGCTGCCCGCGGCCTCTGCGGCGCCGGTTCGATCCCCGGCTGCTCCCCGGCCACCGGAGGAGGGTCCCGCATGGCGCGCAGACCTCTCCTGCCGCCCGCTGCTCCCCTCAGCAGTGTCCTTCGGTCCTTCTGCCTGCTCTGCTCCCCGCTCTGGCTCTGGTGAATCCTCTCCCCCTCCCGGGCTTCTGACTGTACCCAGTGCTTGTATAAATAAAACAAACAAACAAATAAATAAATAAAAAGCATGCCTCCTCTATTAAAAAAAAAAAAAAAAAAGATTGATTGATTGGTTGGTTGGTTGGTTGGTTGGTTGGTTGGTTGATCTATACGTCCAGGCACTGGGTCAGTCAGAAGCGCGGGAGGGCGCGAGGACCCGCCAGAGCCAGAGCGGGGAGCAGAGCAGGCAGAAGGACGGAAGTGCACTGCTGAGGGGAGCCGCGGGCGGCAGGAGGGGTCTGCACGCCATGCGGGACCCTCCTCCGGTGGCCGGGGAGCAGCCGGGGATCGAACCGGCGCGGCAGAGGCCGCGGGCAGCTTCGCCACCCAGCGCTCAGCCGCTGCGCCCCTGGGGAGGCCCCAGACCTGACTCTTGACCTCCAGGTTGGACCCTGCAGAGCCCGCACCACTTCTCCCCTCAGGTGCCCAGGCGGCGTCAACCTCAGTCATCACCGGCCAGGGCCTGCCCCTCCCTCCCGCCAGCTGTTCGCAGCCCGACCCCAGCTGCTTCACCTCTGTCACTGCTGGTCCTGAGGTGAGCCTCTCCCGATCGATCTCTCGCTCTCCTGCTGTCGTGGGTGTGGCGCAGTAATAGCAAGTCTGCTTCAGTGGGGGTCCCACCCCACTCGTGTGCGCGGCGGCACACCCTGCAGCCTTCCCGGGGCTGCTGGCTCTGTCTCTGCTCTCTGCTCACTGTGGCAATCCAGCTGCTTCGTCCCTAATCTGGCCCCCAAAGGGGCTCCTAAATGATCTCTCCTTTGCTTCCACACAGCAGGTACAGAGGTTTATAAAATACTACACGAGGACCTCCCCGGTGGCGCAAGGGGTGGAGTCTCAGCGCTGTGAAGCTATCCGCAGCCTCTGCGACCTGAGGTAGATCCTAGCCAGGGATCCGACCCACAGGCTGTACCCACAGGGCGCAGCAGCCCTCTCCTGTCTCCCCGCTGCTCCCCTCAGCAGTGGATTTCATCATTCTGCCTGTTCTGCTCCCCACTCTGTCTCTGGTGAACCCTCTCACCCTCCCCCGTACCTCTGGCCCGTACCCCTGCTCTTGTATGCATAAATAAATAAATCTTTACCAAAAAATAAAAAATATATATTAGATGATTCTTCCACTTAGAACCTGCCAGGGACTTGTTACAAATGAGCAGACACATGACCTGCTCTTTCAATAATCTGACTGCGCCGTGGGGTGGAGGTCCCCTAAGGATGAGGACTTCGTTGCTACTCCCATCTCACCATCTCATACCCAGCGGTTCCTTCATAAACACCTGGGTTCCGTGGCTCGGCTGAACATGCAGCAAGGGCACAGAAAGGTGCCCCCAAACTCGGGGAGTGGGCACAAGGTGGGCGGGGCCCCTGCATGAATTAGAGCAAATGCAAGTATGTCTTAAATGTAGCACAGTACACAGCAAACCATCGCGCTATTTAAAAATCTGTTTTGAGACACTGAAAATGTTTTAAATTGTGGTAAAATGTATGGCAAAACTGACCATCTCAGACTTTTTTTATTGTGAAAAACAGACCACATAAATCTACCCTCTTCACCATTTCTAGCTGCACTTTCGGTGTTAAGCATGGTCATGTGCAGCCTCTCGTGCTCGTTAGTCTTACAAATCTGAAACTGTACTCATTAAACGTAGCCTGATTTTTGATATGTCACTTTCTATGTCTTTTTATGTTTCCTTCTGTTTATTAATGTGAAGCTTCTGGACCAGCAGGGCTGAGGAAAGCCAGACTCAATCAAGGCCACTCTGCTTCGGTAAGCCTCCTCCTTTCGGCTCCTCTGGCCAGCAGCAGCCCCCCATGCACACGACCCCTGGCCCCAAGGGCCTCCGGGAACCCAGTGAAGGTAACAGCAGGTACTGATTTCCTGCCAAGGACTGGCCCTGGGCACTCCACACACTCTGGAAGGAGCTGTCACCCCTGAAACCTGCCATTCTGTGCACCAGAACCCCAGAGTTTCCTGGAGGGCGGGTCTACAGGTGCGCCTAGCCCAGTGGCCGCTGCAGTTTATTTTAATTTTTTTTTTTTTTTTAAGAGGCATGTTTTTATTTATTTGTTTGTTTGTTCGTTCGTTTTGTTTATACATGCACTGGGAACAGTCAGAAGCACGGGAGGGTGAGAGAATTCACCAGAGCCAGAGCGGGGAGCAGAGCAGGCAGAAGGACCGAAGCACACTGCTGAGGGGAGCAGCGGGCGGCAGGAGAGGTCTGCGCGCCATGTGGGACCCTCCTTCGGTGGCCGGGGAGCAGCCGGGGATCAAACCAGCGCCGCAGAGGTCGCCGGCAGCTTTGCAACCCAGCGCTCAACCGCTGCGCCACCGGGGAGGCCCTGCAGTTTATTTTAAAGGAAAATACAGATGTGTCTGCAAAGCCCAATCCCCAGCATGTTCACAGGAGGGCAGTGAGAGGCCAGCGGCACCCAGTCTTGCAGGCTTTAAAGATGGTTTAAAAAAAAAAAAAAAAAGCAAGATCCATTTATTAATGGAAAGGAAGCTAAATATGAATTGTGATTCTCCCCTCCACGCCTTGGAATAATGGTTGTATTTTATTTAATTTTTAAAGATTTATTTATTTATGCATACAAGAGCTGGGGTACAGGCCAGAGATACAAGGGGGTGAGAGGACTCACCAGAGACAGAGCGGGGAACAGAGCAGGCAGACAGACTGAAATACACTGCTGAGGGGAGCAACAGGCAAGAAAGGAGAGGTCACTTTGCCATGTGGGTTTCTCCCTGGCCAGCTGGGGATGGAACTCATGCTACAGAGGCTGTGGATTGCTTCATAGGGCAGTGTTTAACCCCTTGTGCCACCGGGGAGGCCCTAATGGTTGTATTTTAATCTTGATTTTTTACTCCTAAGAAAATTACAAATACAATTTTTAGAAACAAAAATATATTTTTTAGATCAGCAGGAATATACATTACAGTGGAATTATGGGTCATGCCTGTGTTTCCAAACTATTCTACCAAAGGCACAGTTTACTTTTGCCATCAGAACAGCAAGTAAAGGTCATTGGGAAATACGGAACCAAGCTGTGCATGGAAGTGTGGCGGCGTCACCTGTTTTCCACCTTACAGGTGTTTCAGGTCAGCCCATGGCCACTCCACAGGATTCCAGCGAAGCTCCCTACCTGCTACCTCCAGACGCCAAGGATTGGGAGGGGCGGGGCATTCCGGATTTTGTCTATGAGCAGAAGGAACTCGCGCCCACGGGGGTACAGTGGCCCCAGCTGGCCCCCGGCACCCCGCCCTTGTCTCGCTTTGACTCTGCACTGTGCTCGGCCTGGAGGCAGCGGATGGAGCTGGGCTTGTTTCGCTACCACCTGGGGGACCTGCAGACCCGAACCCTCCCCGGTGTGGTGGGGCTCGTGGCTCAGCTGAATGTGGAGCGGGGTGTGCAGAGGAGGTGCCCCCAGAACATCCAGAGTGTGAGGCAGGCCTTTGACCCCGAACAGTTTAACTTCAACAAGATCCGGCCGGGAGAAGTCCTCTTCCGTTTGTGCCGGCAGCCCAATCGCCCCCAGCAGGAGGATGTCCTTGTGGTGATCAACGTCAGCCCCTTGGAGCGGGGCCACGTGCTGCTGGTGCCCGAGCCCGCCCAGGGGCTCCCCCAGCGCCTGCGGCCAGGTGCGCTGCGGGCCGGACTTGAGGCTGTGTTGCTGAGCTCGCACCCTGGCTTCCGAGTCGGGTTCAACAGCCTGGGGGGCCTGGCCTCAGTGAACCACCTCCACCTGCATGGCTACTACCTGGCCCACAGACTGCCCGTGGAGGGGGCGCCGAGCGAACCCCTGGACCCTGGGGGCCGTTTGCATCTGCTCCAGGGCCTCCCAGCCCCCGGCTTCCTCTTCTACATTGATGGGGTGGGCTCGGACTTGGAAGCCTTGGTAAGCAGAGTGTGTCGGGCCACTGACTACCTGACCGACCACGAGATTGCACATAATTTGTTTGTCACGCGGGGCGCCCCACCTGGAAAGACGTTCCCTTCCTCCGAGCTCACGGGGGTCCGGGTGATCCTCTGGGCACGGAAGTCCAGCTTCGGCATAAAGGAGGGTGAGGCTTTCAACGTTGCCCTCTGCGAGCTGGCTGGGCACCTCCCTGTCAAAACCCCCAAGCATTTCAGCAGCCTGACAGAGGCAGCTGCCCTGGCCCTCATCCGGGGCTGTCTGCTGCCGCCAGCCCAGGCAGAAGAGGTGCGCACAGCCCTGGTGGCCTTGGCAGCCCAGGAGGAGCCGTAGCCCTTGGGGAAGGGTGAACCCCTGCCTGGAGCTCTGTCACAATGGCCACGTTGGCCACCTTCCCCCCTGGCCCGGCCTTTGGGACAGGTAAGGATGGGTGAAGAGGAGAAACCGGGCAATAAATCCGATGAACAAGACCTCGTGGACTTGTCTTCCCCCTCTCTGCAGACAAGCTCAGGGATGACAAACCCACCACTGTGGCGGCGTGGCGTGCAAGTTACACGCTGGCTTGTGCGGATGTCCCTTGGCGTCAGGTCTTAGTGAGGTGACATTGACTGACCTCTGGCCTTCAGCTGCCAGGACTGGGCTCCGACTGCGTGCAGGTGGCAGCTCCCTGGACCCTGCTCTCCTGGGGGCTACTCGGTGCCCTGCAGAGCTGACCCAGGCCTGTACAAAGCTTTATGAAGAAGTTCAGTCAAGTTTTATGTCCCGGGGGTGTCAAGTCTCACTGGGATGAGGCACAACTCGTTGCATGAGAAACACAATTTGACATTTGTCTCTAAGTTTAACTTTTAAACGTCTGTCAAAAATGGTTGGTCCCCTCGAGTTTGGGGCATGCTGGGCGGAGTGCAGGTGGCATTGCTGCCGAGTAGACTGTGTCCAAGGTGACAGGCCAGACATCAGGCTTTTCCATGCTAGGACTGGTTTTCAGAGGAAAGCCTTCTCTGGCCCAAATAAGTTTTTTCCTGGAAAAAAAATCACTTTTCTTGATGGTGGCATTTCTCAGCCGGTGATAGGCTCTGAGAGTCTTCCAGAGGGAATTTAGACAGAAGCTTTTCAGGGGACTCTGTCCTAAGAGTCATCGAGCAGAGTCAGACGGACTGGGCCAGCCCAGCGCCTCTGCATCTCAGCTGGCTTTTTTTTTTTTTTTTTTTTTTTATGATTTTTTTTTTAAGAGGCATGTATTATTTATTTATTTTATTTATTTATTTGTTTGTTTATACATGCACTGGGTACAGTCAGAAGCACGGGAGGGTGAGAGAATTCACCAGAGCCAGAGCGGGGAGCAGAGCAGGCAGAAGGACCGAGGTACACTGCTGAGGGGAGCAGCGGGCGGCAGGAGAGGTCTGCGCGCCATGTGGGACCCTCCTCCGGTGGCCGGGGAGCAGCCGGGGATCCAACCGGCGCTGCAGAGGCCGCGGGCAGCTTCACAACCCAGCGCTCAACCGCTGCGCCACCGGGGAGGCCCACAGCTGGCTTTTTGAGGGAGGGCCGCCTGCACTGTGGGTTCAGACTTCCTGTGGTCGGAGACCTTGAAGGGTTTTAAATTGGGGAGTAAGTGACTTGCATTTTTGGAAGAATGCCTTAAGCTGCAATGAGTGCACGGGTGAATGGATTAGAGGGAGAATAACTGTCAAAGACCAGCTTTCAGCAAAATGTCGGGTCAGGTGTCCCTGAAAGGATGAGACGTCCTAGGCCAAACCTTGGGACTGAGGGGCAGGGGAGGTGAGGCAGACGCAGACACTCTTATTTTGGTGCAAGCATCTCCTGCGGAGGGTCTCAGCGGGTCTTCATTTATACCTTATGGCAAGCGATGGGATTACATCATCATATGATTAGAAGCAAAACAAAACAATCAGTACATTCCTTTCCCATGGACATTTTGTCGCCTACGTGTTTATAAGAAAAGAAACGACCTTAAAAGTTAGTAGATAATTAGACGCATTATTTCAGCCTAAACAACTACCTAGGGCAGCTCACAGTCCTTGGTACTGCCCTGTCGCCAAGGCTACACTATCAGGAGATTCCTCTATCTATATGGCCTGCAGCCAGAGACCAGTTGCTTCCCGGTAATCAGTTGTTAGAACTTTTTTTTACCTAGAAACTCCTAGCGTAATCAACTTCATGATTCATTACAAGGCTTCTCTACGGAACTTCCACATGAGGAATATTATTATGACCAGCTCTGGGTTGCTTATCAGACATGCCCTTGCACAATAATTATTTCCCATTGTCAAGTGAGCCAGATTATTCAGTGTTTAATTTTTTTTTATTTGTTTATACATGCACTGGATACAGTCAGAAGCGCGGGAGGGTGAGAGGATTCACCAGAGCCAGAGCAGGGAGCAGAGCAGGCAGAAGGACCGGAGTACACTGCTGAGGGGAGCAGCGGGTGGCAGGAGAGGTCTGCGGGTGGCAGGAGAGGTCTGCGCGCCCTGTGGGACCCTCCTCCGGTGGCCGGGGAGCAGCCGGGGATCAAACCGGCGCTGCAGAGGCTGCGGGCAGCTTCGCAACCCAGCGCTCAACCGCTGCGCCACCGGGGAGGCCCTCAGTGTTTAATTTTTAAGCAAGTAATTTTCCAGGCCATGTATTACGATATTCTTAAACGTATAATTTATTGCCCAATGTATATTCCATAAGGTTTTCTCTTTTTATGACTAAGAACAAAAAACAAAGGGATGTTTAATCTTCAGACCCACGGTGTGAGGCACAAGGAATCTTCAGCCCCACGGTGTGAGGCTCTTGAAAAGTCTTCGGTTGCACTGTGTGAGGCCCTTTTCTTAGCTGCTTGCGAGTGTCTTACCTGGCTGGGGCAGCAAGGCCCCCTGCAGCATAACAGAATCAGGGAGTCTGGTCAGGAAGTTGCTGAATGGTGGTGACTGAAGCAAGAGCCGGTACTCTTCAGGTGCTAAAACAGCGCCTGGATGTCATGAGCAGAGTAAAGTTCTACCGACAGCTGTGTCCTTCCATGACTGCCGCGGACCAGCACAGCAGTAGACGATGAGGCCACCTCAGGGTTGAGAGAAGCGTGCAGGGTGGTCAGGGCGTCGGTGAAAGAAATGACACACAGACACACTTCAAGAGTGAAAATCTGAGTGTAATTTTCTTTGAGTTTGTGACCAGTATATATGTTTTCCAAAAGCACAGGGACAATGAATATCAAGGAAACCAGCTTGCTCCTGGGCTCAGCCTGTCCCCAGCAGGGCGGTGATCTACATCTGGACCCAGCCTCATTCCTAAGTAGATAGACCATTAGTTTTGTTTTTAAACTATATAATCGTATTTTTTATTAACTACTTTTTTACCTAAACTATATTTTAATTATTACAGGGTTTAGTAATGTTTCATTGGAGTCAGCCTTGTTTTAAGGATTTCATATGATTTTTTAATTAACAAGCAATGACCTTCATAGAAGAAAGAAGGAAGTTTAGAAAGACAATAAGGGATTAAAGTTTGTAGTTCTAGAAAGACAGGTAAGATTTTTAGCATTCTTGTAGTGGTTCCTGGTGGTCGTTATCTTTTGATAAGCTTCTGTCTTTTCAGGGAACTTCGCTGTACTTCCCCTGCCTCAGGGTGTTTTGCTGTTCTCCCCCTGCGCGCTGGTCGCCCAGCCGGACCTAGGAACGGTTAGCCCTAAAGGTCACTGCCGGGGGAGGTGCAGCACATGACGTCACATGATTTGTAATTTATCAAACTAACAGACAAATGGGTGATGACCTGTGGCAGTAAACCCCAGCCCACCTGATCAGCAGTGAGCGGGGCAGAGTCCACACAGAGCAGTCTGCCTGGACAACAGCCTTCTCAAACACTGTCCAACACAGTCCGTTGTTAACCATCCAAAGTCCAAATGTTGTAGAGCAACCCCGATACAAAACGGGGTGCCTGGCTGTGGGTCCTCACCCGTGCGCTTAAAAGGACTTATCAATGCTCTGCTGCAGGCACATGCGAAAGGTTAATAAAAGGTTTATTTACAAGGGAAGGGGAAACGAGGAAATGTACAGCTCAGGGAGAAAAGTGGGAGACAAAGTTTTAAATGCGTCCTACCCGATCCGCCGATCAGGAATCCCAAAATGGCGCTCTCAGAGTTGGCTGCCAGCCAGGAGCGGTGAAGCCAGGAGGGGAGCGATCGCGAGCCAGAGAGAGCCCAAGGCCCACGTGTTTGGTTTTTATACCCAACCTGGCTGCCCAACTCCACCCTCAGGTCCCAGCCACCCTCCCTTGGTGGTGACAGGATTTGTCTTTCCCAGAGTCTTGATGGCTTTGGTCTGGAGTGGGGGGGGTGGGGTCCACAAAGCCTGTATGGGATTAGCTCAGGACATCCTCTCCCCCTAACACACACAGATGAGGGTGCCGGCTCCTAAGAGGGTTTCAGGCTCAAGCCTCGTATGCTCAGGGGAGCAGTGTTGGCGCTTCTCAGCCCAAGCCCGGTGGGATGTGTCCAGCACCAGGGCGGTAAGAGGAGCGGGTGCTCCTGCTGACCCCGCACGAGTGGCAGCGTCCCAGCGCCCAGATTCGCGCAGAGACAGGTGTGCAGGCGTTCACTTGCCGCTTTCAAGCTTCTTTGGGATCCTCTGCCCAGGGTCAGTGTGTCCAGTCCAGACTTGACTAGGAGAAGTCCCCCCGGGCATCCCCCTGGGCGTCCCTTGTGTGGGTGCTGCCTGATTTACTGCCCAGGTGGGTTTATGACTTGACATTAGTGACTCCATTTTATATTGGCCATGTCGCTGCACTCGGCCTATTAGTTTACTTTTTTTAAGATTTATTTATTCACACAAGCACTGGGGACAGTCAGAAGCGCGGGAGGGCGCGAGGATCCCCCAGAGCCAGCGCGGGGAGCAGAGCAGGCAGACGGACCGAAGGACACTGCCGAGGGGAGCCGCGGGCGGCAGGGGGGTCTGCGCGCCATGCGGGGCGCTCGCCGGCGGCCGGGGCCCCGTTGAACCGCGTCAGTAAGAGGCTCCCGCCGCGGAACTCTCGGGCCTGGAGGCGCGGGAAGGACGCGCGCCCTGGCGGACAGGCGCCGAGCCTGACGGGCGCGGGCGGGCGAGAGCGTCGCCTGCGGACGAGAGACCCGGAGCCCATCGGGCGCGCCGCGTCCCTGGGGGGGCGCCGGCCCAGCGCCCCCAGCGCCCCCTGCGCCCCCTCCTCGGCCCCGCGGCGAGCCCAGCGGCCAGCGGGGCTGAGTCCCGCGGAGGCCGCGGGCAGCCGGCCGGGGAGGGGGGCGGCGGCAGCCTGGGCGCCGCACGCGACCCTCGGGGTCCCCGCCGCGCCTCGGGCCGGGGCGGGGTTGGGGGGCGAGCCCCGCAGGGTCCGGTCGGCGCTGCCCGCGGCCCGGCCCGAGGCGCGGGGCGGGGCGGGCGGACTGCGAGTCCCATGATGCCCCGCGCCCCGCGCCAAGATGGCGCCGCCGCCGGCGCCGTGGGCGTGGCTCCCGGGGCCCCGCCCCCAGAACGCTCGCCAATGGGCGCCGCCCCCGTGTCCATGGCGACGGCGGCGGCGGCGGCCAGCGCGGCGCTGACTGAGGCGCCGCCGCCGCCGGGACCTCGGCGCCGGGAGCGAGCGCGGGAGCGGGGAGCGGGCTCCCCCCGACGGCGGACGGTCGCAGCCGCGCCTGCGCGGCGAGGAGCGGGCCCGAGGCCGGAAGCCCGGGCGGAGCGGCCATGGGCGGCCCGCCGAGCCCCGCCCCGGCCGCGAGGGCCTGACCCGGCCCCCGCCGCGGGTGGGCGGCGCCGCGGGGCTCCCGGCCGGCCCCCCGGGGGTCAGCGGCGCCGCGGCCCGGCGCGCGCGGGGAGCCGAGGCGCTGCGGCTGCAGATCCGCTCCGTGCTGTCTGAGGACCCGCTTGTCCATGCGCGCGAGGGCCGGGGCGCGGGCCGGAGGTGCGGGAGCGGGACAGGCGCGTCCACCGGGACCCGCGGCCGGGGGGCGCGGGAGACGGGGGGGGGCGCCGCGCCCTGCGGGCAGCTCCCTGGCCGGGGGTCGAACTCGGGCTGCGGCGGCTGCGGGCGGACGGCTTCCTGGGCTGCGTCTTAGCCCCTTGCGCCCCCAGGGAGGCCCCTTCAGTTCCATCTTAAGAGCAAACACCGCCCGCCCCAGCCGACCCCCTTCCCGTGGGGAAACAGCTCCCGTCTGACCCTGCCTGCCTTGCCGGCCCCCGCACGCCCCGCCGTCGGTGTGGCTGATCGGGGGCGCCTGGGCACTCTGCGGCCCCCCTGCTGGACTGTTCTGAGGGGCAGCAACACCCCTACAACACTAGGAGGGGCTTTTGGTGAATTCCCAAGGCCCTTCCCAGACCTGCAGGCAGCTGACAGGCGCTGCACTGCCCATTGCTCTCCCCTCAGAGCCTGAGAGGATGGAGCCAAGCACCTGCAAGACCAGCGAAACAGAGGAAGACTACATGGGCGAGGAGGACTCTGAGGAGGAGTGTGCTACAGGGGAAACGCCCATCCCTGCCAACCCTTCTCGGCAGGAGCTCTCAAGGGCTGACTGCGAGGCCCCTGGGAGTGGAGTTCCCCTATCCACTGTCGCCAAGAAAATCCCAAAGAAAGCCACAGGCCCGCTTAACTCAGAGGACTTAGAAACCAGGAGGAGAAAGAGAAGGCGGAAGCGCAGGTGACCGGTCCCTTGGACCCCTCACCTGCCTGGCTCCGGTCACCCCCGACCTCCCTTCAGAATCGCGGGCCTGGGATCCAAGGGCTTCCTGTAGCCTGGGAGAGAGGACAGGGACTCAGGAGCATCTCTACCCTTGTGTGCAACAAGAGCAAGATTCAGAGCCGCGCGGCTGGCCTCGCTCGGCATTCCCGCACAACTCTGTCACCCTGGGCTTTGAGTGGCTTCCCGAGAAGATGAGCAGCCATGTGCGGTCGCGGGGTGTCCCTTCCTCCGGGAGCCCAGGCGCTGTCTGCCCCTCCGCTCTGCCTCATGCCTGCTGTCCTCTGTTCCAGACCCCTGGCCATCAACCTGACCAACTGCAAGTACGAGAGTGGTAAGCGCCCAGGCCTGCTCGCGCCCCCTCCGTGCCTGGAGCTCCGGAGAGCCCCCGGCTACACGCAGCCTCAGGGTCTCGCTAGCCGCCCCGGGCCAGCTCCCGGGGCGGAGCCACCCCTGCTCCCCTTCCTCTGGCGGTAGGGTGGGCGCCTCCATGGTTAGCGAACAAGAAAAAAGTGGCTGTGAGTCAGCACTGCCCTCCCCCACCCCATTTTACCAGAGAGGAGAGGACAAAGAGGAGAGGTTAAAGCAGTTTTTTTAAAGGAAGGTTTCGAGGGGGCTTCGGCAATTAAAAAACAATCCGCCAGCTGGCCGGCCGTCTCTGCCTCCCCACACGTCCCCCCACTGGCCTCTGGGAAGGAGCCACCCAGAGAGGTGCCAGTGTGACGGCTTCCAAGGCCAGAGCCCGGGCCCTTAGAGCTGGAGGGGCGGACAGCCAGGCTCTAGGTTTCTCTGGTGGATTCTCGAAGGGCCCTGCCGCCCTCTGAACTTGGGGCCGTCACAGAGTGCCTGACCTGCAGAGCAGAGGGAAGAGCTGCCTCTGCAGCCACTCTCCAGTCTCTTCCTTTCCCCACCTGCCCCACTGCCCCCCAGGCCTGTTGCCCATGCCCAGCGCTGCCTTGACCTCCCTCTCCGCAGTGCGTCGCGCAGCCCAGATATGCGGCCTGAAGGAGGTAGGGGAGGACGAGGAGTGGACTGTGTACTGGACAGACTGCTCTGTCTCGCTGGAGCGAGTCATGGACATGAAGAGGTTTCAGGTACAGTCTCCTGACCCGGCTCCCAGGGGGGCTGCAGGCCCGGAACCGCCATTCCCACCCCGCGCCTGGGCACCAAGGCTGCCACGCTGCGGACAGAGCAGGGCGGGCCCCTGCTCCAGTGGGCCTCGAGCTTGCTGTCTGGAGGCAGAGGCTGCTGGGTGTGTTCTGTTTCAGTGTTGCCCTCCGCCTGGAGGCCTGTGCTCAGCTGCCTCCCTCTGGCTCAGCTGAATAGCTGAGCTCACCTCAGGCCCAGACCCGGAGGCAGCCCCCTGCAAACAGCAGGGCCAGCCAAACACCCCAGGCCTGGAAGCAGCTCAGCCCAGCACCCCGCGTCGCACTGAGCTGGGCGGGGCCCACGAGGGCACGGCTGACTGCAGTGCACTTTTCTTCCTCGAGCTGGGTCTTCACCAGTAACAGAAGAACTAAAAAAAGGTCCACAGGCTCCTTCCCAGGGAAGCCCGGAAGTTGAGGGTCTCTAGTCCTTCAAGGGGAGCCAAGGGAGAGAGCAAGTTCTAAAAGGGCTTGGGGAGCCCCAGGGGAGGGGCAGGCAGGGGCAGTTGCAGAATGGGGGTGACAGTTAGCAGTGTTTATTGCGGAAGCACCGTGTGGTAGACACAGAGCGCCTCTGCACTGAAATCCTGTGCGTCCAGACAACGCAAAGTGGCAGGTACCCCTTCGTGGAGGACATGGAGCATCAGAATTCTAACTCCATGCCCTGGCGCGTGGAAGGGCAGTGAGCTGGGAATAGCCGTGCTGTGCACAAGGGGCTGGGGGGGAGAAGCAGGCCACCCTGGCAATGCCATGCCCTCTGGGACTGCTGGCACTGCCTGCCTGGGCTGCCCTAGTTTAGCTTCCCTTTCCCTGCGCGTCACGCTCTCTAGGACCAGCCCCCATGGGCTGAGGGATCTGAAGGTGTGGGGAGGCCCAGAGGCCTGACTTGCCCTTCTCAGTGCCCCCTATTTCCTGACCTCTGTGTGTGTTTGGGGGAGAAGCCAAGGAGGGTTTTCTCCCTCGAGGGGACCGGGTGCAACGTGTAGCTCTACCAGGACGTCCACCTTGCGCTGCTCACCTCTTCCCCATGGCTCCCCCATGAAGCCCAAGTTCCAGAAACGGAGGTTCGCTCTGGGGGAATCTCACCAGCCGGCTCTGTTGCAGAAAATCAACCACTTCCCTGGCATGGCAGAAATCTGCCGCAAAGACCTGCTGGCCCGGAACCTCAACCGCATGCAGAAGCTCTACCCCGCCGAGTACAACATCTTCCCCCGCACCTGGTGCCTCCCTGCAGAGTGAGTGTGGCTGGCGCGGGCCTGGCTGGGGAGCCTTCGCTCCTCCAGACTCTGGCCTCAGACCAGTGTCTGCAAGGGAGGGAAGCGGGGCCAGAGCTTCCCCCCGGCCATGCCTGCAGTGACCAGCCCCTCTGCACAGCTACGGGGACTTCCAGGCCTATGGGCGTCAGCGAAAGACCCGCGCTTACATCTGCAAGCCCGACAGCGGCTGTCAGGGCCGCGGCATCTTCATCACCCGAAACCCCCGGGACATCAAGCCAGGAGAGCACATGATCTGCCAGCAGTACATCTCCAAGGTAAGGGTGGGGGCTCTGCCCGCCCCGCCCCTGTCCCCAGGGGTCTCCCAAAGCCGGGAGGCTGCTGGTTTCAGGCTCCCGCTGTCTCGGTAAACTTTCAGGTAGGAGCAAGCCTGCCTTCTACTTGCTGTCTAAGGAAGTCTGGACCAATTTCTTACCCCTGTGTGCCTCAGTTTCCCCACGTGTTCAATAGGAATAGTCACAGGAAGTACTTGATAGAGTGATGGTAGAAAGGAAATGAGTTTGGGACCTGAGGCGCTGGCGGCCGTGTGTAGTACAGTCAGCACTGCCCAAACGCTTGCTTCTCTTCACTGCGCTCGGCCTGCTCTTAGCCCTTCCTCATTGACGGCTTAAAGTTCGATATGCGGATCTACGTCCTGATCACATCCTGCGATCCGCTTCGGATCTTCATGTACGAGGAGGGCCTGGCCCGCTTCGCCACCATGCCCTACGTGGAGCCGAGCCACAGCAACCTGGTAAGGGGCTTGCCCGCTGCTGGGGCACTGAGGTTCACGTTGGTTACCCCAGACAAGGACGGTGGCCAGGGAGGACCTTGGCACCTGGCTGGCGGGGGCCGCTGGGGCCGGGGCGAGGCTTCTCTGGAGGAGGAGCACATTGCCTTCCCCGGGGGCTCACAGCACACCCTGGGCTGGAGAGGGCAGAGCAGCCCTGGGTGGAGCGTCGGGCATCCAAGGGCTGGCGGCACTTGCCCAGGGCTGGCACTCAGGGCCACTTTCTGCCCAGGATGACGTCTGCATGCACCTGACCAACTACGCCATCAATAAACACAATGAGAATTTCGTCCGGGATGAGGCCATGGGCAGTAAAAGGTACTCCCCGCTCGGACTCTGCTCCTCCTCTGCCACCCACCCGCAGCCTCAGCAGCCTGCACTGGCGCAGGGAAACCAACCTTCCCAGGCCCTGTCCTGCCCTGACCCCCAGAGGCAGCCCCGTGCCCCACCCCGGTAACTGAGCTGGTCTCCGTTTACAGCACAGGGAGGGAGGCAGGGAAGCGGGTTGGTTAGGGAGCCTCCGTGGGCAGCCCAGTCCCGCTGGCCTGGAGCTGGTCTCCCCCTGAGCACCGGGCCTCACAGGAAGCTGTCCACGCTCAACACCTGGCTGCAAGAGCACAGCTACGACGCGCGGGAGCTGTGGAGGGGCGTCGAGGACATCATCGTCAAGACTGTCATCTCCGCCCACTCTGTCCTTCGCCACAACTACCGGACCTGCTTTCCCCAATATCTGAGCGGAGGCATCTGCGCCTGCTTTGAGATCCTTGGTTTCGACGTCTTGCTGGACCACAAGTTGAAGCCCTGGCTGCTGGAGGTGAGGCTCTCCCGGGCGCTGCAAAACCAAGGTCTCCCCAAGCAGAACCGTGGGCTAGGCGTGCACCCGGCAGCGGACAGAGTGGGCACACGGCGGCTCCGGGGGGCGGCGCCCAGCGGAAGGGAGAAGACTCCCATACTTCTGACCCGCGGGGTCAAATCTTGGCACCTCTGGGCTCTACCCGGCGATCCAGGCTTTGGACCCAGGTGTTCTTCCCGTAGGCCTCGCCTGGGAGGCCAGGCAGTCCGATTTGCTGTGGGTAACGGCCTGAGCACTGGCGGGATCTCTGTGGCAGAGCATGGGCCCGGGAGTCAGCCCGTCAGCCTCCAGTCAAGGCCGCTCCCAGGAGACCATGGCCTGCTCAGTCCAGGGGCGGGGCAGATAATGGCTCCTCACGCAGGTGAATCACTCTCCAAGCTTCACCACTGACTCCCGCCTTGATCGAGAAGTGAAGGATGCGCTTCTCTATGACGCCATGACCCTTGTCAACCTCCGGGGCTGTGACAAGAGGAAGGTGATGGAGGAGGACAAGCGGCGGGTCAAGGAGCGGCTTTTCCATGGCCACCAACAGCCGCGAGAAGCCAGGTGCCCTGATGTCTGACGTGTGTGGTGATGTGAAACGTGTTCTTTGTCATGACTTTCCTGAGGGTTGAGTCCTTCCCAAGATGGAGAAGGCAGCCTGGGCCTGACCAGTGTCTAACGCCAGCTTGGTCTGCACATCACACATCATCACGTGTCCAATCCCTCCCGCCAGCGACAGGACAGGTGCGGTCGAGACCAAATTTGGAAGAAAAAGGGGTGTGAAGGCAGATCCTGGAAAACGCCTATTTCTCTGAAACCCCGCCGACACAGACCCTTAGCCTGCCCCTCCGCAGCCGTCCCCAGGCGGGCGCCGGCCGCTCCCCACGCCGAGGGAAGGCCCTCAGAGCACAGGCTCGGCCTCCGCTCCCCGGCCCACGAGTCAGGCCCTCTGCTCCTGACAAAACCATGGGCTGGTCAGTGTCTCCTCTTTTTCTTTTGGGGGGGTGACCCTCGCCGACGGCCAGGGAACGAACCGGCGCTGCAGAGGCAGCAGGCAGCCTCGCAGCCCAGCACTCAACCGCTGCGCCACCAGGGGAGGCCCAGTCTCTCCTCTTTCTTCAGCTGCTCAGTTCTCCTCCCTGGAGCCAAGCACTTCCCAGGCTCACGTGTGCTTGCACACACATGTGGGGCACACACGTACACACATACGCACACACCTCCGCTTCCCCGGGGCTGCAGCATTGACTTCCACCCTGTGCCCGGCTCCAAGCACTCACGTCAGCACTAGGAGTTTCACGGGGTCAACCAGCTGGCTCATCTTTAGCAAAGCTCCTCTCTCTAGACCCCGTCCTGAGGAAGCTGGCGGGGGGAGCCGAGGGTAGGGCCGTCACTCTGCACCAGGCACAGTCTACACCGGGGACAGGCTACACAGCACCGGCCGCCTGCCACTGTCTCCGTCCTGAGACAGGGCAGACATGCCCCTGTGGCTGACATACTGGGGCTTGCCAAGAGGTAGCGATGAGGTGGAGGTTTAGGGTGACTCCTTCAATGTGTGAATGGAGGCAAGGGTACCTGTAAACGCTCTGGGGACACCCCGAGACTGGGTTGTGCATGTGACTGGTATGAATCATGTCTCTTGAAGGGGAAAAAGTGCTGGACTTGATAAACAGAAGTATGGCTGGCCATTTATTGATTCATTTTAAAGATTTATTTATTTATGCATACAAGAGCTGGGGTACAAGCCAGAGGTGCGGGGGTGAGAGGACCGATCAGAGACAGAGCGGGGAGCAGAACAGGCAGACTGACTGAAATCCACGGGGAGCAACAGGCGAGACAGGAGGGGTCTGCTGCGCCGTGTGGGTAGCTCCCTGGCTGGGGATCGAACTGGTGCTACAGTGGCTGCGGACAGCTTCACAATGCAGAGACTTAACCCCTTGTACCACCAGGGAGGCCCTGGCAGGCCATTTGAGCAAACAGCAGATAGCAATATAAAAAGGGTCTCATGTGACCCCACATAACACTTCTGAAGCGAGAAAGGAAGGTAGGAACAAAGGGGCAAGGGAGTGGGCAGTAAAGCCCCAGCATTCACACAGGCTCTGATACCCTCAGCTGGTCTCCCGTCCCTTCCTGAACATTCTCCCACTCCTCCTGACTGACTTGGTTTCCACAGGCGGGAACAAATTGAGTCATCCCGCGCGGCGATGCTGGACCAGGAGCGCTACGAGGACTCCCACCTGGGGGGCTACCGGCGGATCTACCCCAGGTCAGACATGGAGAAGTACGCGCCCTTCTTCAAGCACAACGGCTCCCTCTTCCAGGAGACGGCTGCCTCCAAGGCCAGGGAGGAGTGCGCCAGGTGCCTCGCCGGGGTTCTTGCTGTCCGCATGGGCGGGGGAGATCCTGAAGCTCCCCACTTACCCAGCAGGGTGGAGGGGAAGCCAGCATGTGAGGAACGAGGAGTGGTTACCCCATCAACCTCCTCTTCCCACCCCCTCTCTGCGCCCCGCCTTCCCAGCACAATTTCTCCAGTGCCTGAAGCGGCTGTGTCTTGTCAGGCAGCAACTGGAAGAGATCCGCCTGAAGCAGGAGCAGCAGGGGTTCTCGGGCTGTAAGAGGCGAAGGGAAAACAGGGACCAGAACCAGGGAGAATCGGCGGGGGAGAAGAGCGCCCCCAGGGCCCGGCTGCGCAACCTCTCCATCCACCTGGCCTACCGGAACCGCCGCCGCGAGCAGGAGGTCGGAAGATGGGTTGGGGCTGCTAGAGAGGAGGGAAGGTCCGCTGCCCTTTTGCGGGGGTTGGGGAGAGGGAAAGAGGGGGACTTCTCCATAACTGGGAATTTGACCTTTCGGAACCAGAGGCGAGAGAATGGAGGGGAGGGATGGAGCACTGCAGCCACGACGACCGCTGGCCCTTGGGGACCCCGCATTCCTCTCTGGCGTCTTGCAGCAGCCCCCAGTGCACCTGGACACCACACAGCCTCAGGAGATCGTGGAGGAGGAGGAGATGGAGCGCATGAAGGCCCTGCTCGAGAGGGAGAATCTCATCCGAAGCCTGGGGATCGTGGAGCAGCTCACGCACATGCTGCACCCCAGCCACCGGAGCCAGAAAAAACTTCCTGAGTTTCGGGTGCAGGTCCCCAGTCGCCTCTCACCGGGCAACAAGGGCGGGGCGGGGGGGGGCCCAGCCCACGGTGGCAGACCCAGTAGAGGCGGCAGACAGACGCCATCTGGCAGTAGAGGCTGGGAAAGCAGGGCACGCTGGGCGGATGGAGCGCCTGCTGGTCCCTTTGCATCTGCTCCCCAGCCCCCTTGCTTTGGTAGTGGCAGCCAGCGAAAGGCAGCTCCCAGCCTCCTGGCCGGCAATGACCGATGAGTAAGCAGGTGCCACACTGAGAGGCTTCTATGAGGTCCTCTCCCTAGCCCTGCCAGTGCTGTGGCTTTCGTGGGAAATAAGGAAAGCCTCGGGCCAACAAAACAGCCGCAGCACTACTCCCTGGCCTAACGCAAACCTGCCAGGGCCAGGTTTTGTTGAGCCGCAAAGGAGTCCCGAGTTAATAGTGGCTGCAGCTAGAAGCGCTTCGCCAGTTACCTACTCTGTGCAGCGCGCCACCCACCTCACAGGGATGTGTAAGGGGCTGCTCTTCTCTCTAGCCTAGATTTCACCAGGACGGGCTGGGCAGTCAAGAACTGCAATCCGTGAATCTGGTTCCACTGGTCCTCCTGAGAGGGGCCACCAAAAAGCAGGGTCCTCATTTCCTGCACCCAGTCCGGCCCCACGCCTTGATCCCCAGGATCTTAAGGCCACTGCCAAGCACCAATGCTGCAATGCCACCTCATCCTCGGTGCCACCTACGGCCCAAGAACTTCCACTGGATAGAAGATCCAGCAGCCGGTGGCTCCTATTCACTGTTAGTGAAGAAACCTGGAAGGCGCTATTTTCCCAGCGCCAGAGTCAGGTTCACTGGCCGTAAGTACAGGAAACCAGCTCCTGGCACTCAGCTGCTGGATGCCCGCCAGCAGCTCCAAGGCCGGCTGCTCCTGGGAGAGGGATGGCGCTCCTGGCAATGTGGGAGCCAGGGAGGGAGGGAGGGGATCCGTTCCTTGACCTCCTCCTGCACAGCAGACCACCGTGAAGGAAATGACAGAAATACAGGCCCTGCCCGCCACACACTGAAAGGGGCAGCAGGCTGGCATACCCGTCAGGGCGGCGTGGGGAGGTCGGGCCGGCAGCGGTTGGGAAGGAAGTGAGCAAACCTCGTCCCCGGGCACCAGCTAAGGGGCACCCGTGCTTCCCCCGCAGAAGGCCAAGCCAGCAGGAGGCTAGAAGCCATAAGCCGAGCCCTGGCAGGATCCGTGCCACCCTCCCTGGCCTCAGCGCAGGGCTGTCTTCCGCAGCGGGAGCGGGCGCCGAGCGGCTCGGGGCCCGGGGGCGCCGTGCCCTCCGCGGGCGACGCTGAGCTCGGCGCGGACGAGGCCCGGAACGTCGCCCTCTGCCCGGGCTCGGTGCCCGCGCTGCAGCGGCCCCCCGCGCTCCTGGCCACCCGCCACCCCCGGTAGCGGCAGGCGGGAGCCCGCGCTCAGCGTCTCCCCGAGACCCTCGGGCTGCCAGCGGGGCCGGGGCCCCTCCCTCCTCGCCGCCTCGGAGCCCGGCCGCCGGCGGGAGCCCCGCGCGCAGGAGGCGCCAGCACCCCCTGCTCCCGCACCCCGCCTCGGGCCAGCGCCCGCGAAGGCGACGGGAGCCCGCGGCCGCGGCCTCGTCCCCCGCGGCGCGACGGGCCCGGGCCGGGGCCTCCCTCCCGGCAGCCGCCCGGCCCCGCGGAGCCCGCGGCGGGACAGGCCGCCGGGCGGGCGCGCTCGGCAGTGGACGCGGCCTTTGTATTAAAGTTATGGCTTTGCAGGCGCGTCCGTCGCCTCTCTCCGCCCTCGCGTCTCCCCGGCGCCGCCTTCCGGGCCCCGGCGGAAGTGGAGGGCGCGGGCCCCGCCCCTTCCGGCCACGCCCCTTCCGCACCGGCCTTTCCGGCCACGCCCCTTCCGGCGGCGGCGGCCGTGCTCGCCATGGCGGGGCCCTTGAGCCGCTCGCTGCGCGGGCGCGTCCGTGCGGCCGTCGCTCGCTGTGCGCCGGCCACCCGCGGGGGGGCGGGCCCGGGCGCCGCCGGCCGCGAGCCGGACCCCGATTCCGACTGGGAGCCGGAGGAGCGGGCGCTGCAGGAGGCGGCGAGGTACCGGCTCCCCTCCGGGCGCGCGGCCTGAGCGCCCCCCCCCTCACCGCCCCCTCGGGTGCGCGGCCTGAGCAGGCCCCCCTCCCCCCCGGGCCCCTCACCGCCCCCTCGGGAGCGCGCCCCCCCACCCTCACCGCCCCCTCGGGAGCGCCCCCCCCTCACCGCCCCCTCGGGTGCGCGGCCTGAGCAGGCCCCCCTCCCCCCGGGCCCCTCACCGCCCCCTCGGGAGCGCGCCCCCCCCACCCTCACCGCCCCCTCGGGAGCGCGCCCCCCCTGCCCCTCACCGCCCCCTCGGGAGCGCGCCCCCCCCTCACCGCCCCCTCGGGTGCGCGGCCTGAGCAGGCCCCCCTCCCCCCGGGCCCCTCACCGCCCCCTCGGGAGCGCGCCCCCCCCACCCTCACCGCCCCCTCGGGAGCGCGCCCCCCCTGCCCCTCACCGCCCCCTCGGGAGCGCGCCCCCCCCTCACCGCCCCCTCGGGTGCGCGGCCTGAGCAGGCCCCCCTCCCCCCCGGGCCCCTCACCGCCCCCTCGGGAGCGCGCCCCCCCCACCCTCACCGCCCCCTCGGGAGCGCGCCCCCCCTGCCCCTCACCGCCCCCTCGGGAGCGCGCCCCCCCCTCACCGCCCCCTCGGGTGCGCGGCCTGAGCAGGCCCCCCTCCCCCCGGGCCCCTCACCGCCCCCTCGGGAGCGCGCCCCCCCCACCCTCACCGCCCCCTCGGGAGCGCGCCCCCCCTGCCCCTCACCGCCCCCTCGGGAGCGCGCCCCCCCTCACCGCCCCCTCGGGTGCGCGGCCTGAGCAGGTCCCCCTCCCCCCGGGCCCTCACCGCTCCCTCGGGTGCGCGGCCTGAGCAGGCCCCCCTCCCCCCCGGGCCCCTCACCGCCCCCTCAGGAGCGCGGCGCGGGGTGCGGGGCGCCCGCGCGGGCGGGGAGCCGGGCCCCGCGGGGCGCCGGGCCTGCCCCGGGGCTCCGCCACTGGTTCTCTCCCGCAGCGCCCTGAGGCGGCAGAGGAAAGCCGTCCGGCTCCAGAAAGTCCGCAGGCAAATGGAGGCGCCAGGAGCCCCGCCCAGGACCCTGACGCGGGAAGCCATGGAGCAGATCCGGTGAGCCCGCGGGGGCGGCGGCCGTGGTGGGGGCAGGGCCGCGCCGGGGGTCGCTCTTGCCTTCGTCGCCTCGGGTTCCAAAAGAAACGTGGGGAACGCGAGCTTCGCGAACAGCTGGGGCGTTGTTGCTAAAATTCAGGAGTAGGGCCTCCCCGGTGGCGCAGCGGTTGAGCGCTGGGTTGCAAAGCTGCCGGCGACCTCTGCGGCGCCGGTTCGATCCCCGGCTGCTCCCCGGCCACCGGAGGAGGGTCCCACATGGCGCGCAGACCTCTCCTGCCGCCCGCTGCTCCCCTCAGCAGTGTGCTTCGGTCCTTCTGCCTGCTCTGCTCCCCGCTCTGGCTCTGGTGGATTCTCTCACCCTCCCGCGCTTCTGACTGTACCCAGTGCTTGTATAAACAAAACGAACGAACAAACAAACAAATAAATAAATAAAAACATGCCTCTATAAAAAAAAAAAAATACTCATTAAAATTCAGGAGTAGACTTGTGGACAGAATAGTGGATCGTGAGGTGGTTCTTTTTTTACAAAACATTTATGTATGCACACAAGGGCTGGGGCGCAGGCCAGAGGTGCGGGGTGAGCGGGTTCACCAGGGACAGAGCGGGGAGCAGAACAGGTGGATCTATTGAAACCCACTGCTGAGGGGAGCAGCGGGGAGACGGGAGAGACCTGCTGCGCCATGTGGGCAGCTCCCTGGCCGGGGATCGAACTCGTGTTGCGGTGGCTGGTGATAGCTTGATAGTGCTGAGGCTTAACCCCTGGCACCACCAGGGAGGCCCCACATGTAGATACTTTTTAAAATAATTTTGGGGGGCTTTTTTTTTTCAGGTTTCCTTATGCAAATACAAGTGGTATAAAAATACTCAGACTTTACATCCACCTTTAATCAGACAGGGTACTATAAATACTGCTTTACATTTTTATTTCTTCACTCAGTATATTTTATATCTTTTTTTTTTTTTTTTAAAGATTTATTTATTTATTTATTTATTTATACATGCACTGGGTACAGTCAGAAGCGCGGGAGGGTGAGCGAATTCACCAGAGCCAGAGCGGGGAGCAGAGCAGGCAGAAGGACCGAGGTACACTGCTGAGGGGAGCAGCGGGCGGCAGGAGAGGTCTGCGCGCCATGCGGGACCCTCCTCCGGTGGCCGGAGAGCAGCTGGGGATCGAACCGGCGTCTCAGAGGCCGTGGGCAGCTTTGCAACCCAGCACTCAACCACTGCACCACCGGGGAGGCCTTATATATCTTTCTGCGTCAGAAAAGTCATTCTCTTCTAGAAAGAGTAGCCAGTTGTAGTGCATTTATCAGCCCAGCAGTGGTGAATACGGGCCTTGTTCCCCTCATCTGCTGCCACAGCTAGTGCTCCAGTGAGCAACTGCATCACCCCACGGGTTTATCAGGCCCACTGTTGTCTACAGTGGGAGCTGCTGTAGGGTCGCTGGGTCAAGGACAGAGGGACTTGCATTTTGATGAATAATGCTAAATAGCTTTGCACAGGGTCAGCACTTGGCCAGTTCCATGGTAATGGCTGCTGGAGAGCGTCAGCCTGTAGCACGTCTTATGCCGTTTCTTCCCCTATCCTGAGCCTCAGCTGTTTCAGACCTTCAGGTTTCCTACCTCTCCCCACCCTTGTAGCAAATGTCCTCTAATTTCCAAGAAAAAAACCAGACATTCGGCGAGAACCCTTTAGAGCTGCTCGGTCTTGCCCCTTCCCTTCCATTCTCTGTCTTCAACTGTGTTTGCGCGTCTGGGGGCAGCAGCCTATCACTCCCCTAGGACCCGTCCTGTGCGTGTTGGCGGTCAAGGCCCTCCCTGATTCCCGAGGGACTTTCATCTGTCACATTAAGGTTTCCCACGTGATTTGTTCCTAGCTGTTCCCTGCTTGCCGCCCCTCGCTTGTTAGTTTTGTCCCTACAGTGAAACTTTCTCCACCAATCTGTCCGTGCCTTCTGGGTGTAAGTGATAGTCTGGTTTTCAGCTTCCCTGGCGTGTCTGCAGCATTTCACCTTGTAGTGTGTAGTCTGCTTTTTTAAGATTCTCTTCTCCCTTGACCCAGGGGAGCACTCCCTTCTATTTCTCGAACTGCTTTTCCGAGTTTCCTTCTGGGCTCCCATTCATATTCTGGCATCTTAGGTCTTAGTTGTTTTTTTTTCTTTCCCCGAAAGTTGTGTCGCTGGTCATTTTATTTACCTCTGAATATTTCCCTGTATAATGCCATCCACTTCACATGCCTTTAACCACCCTGCTCTTGGCTCAAATCTGTCACCTGTCAGTGTTTGTCTTACGGCGCGCTGCAGTCAGCTGTGTACTAGACAACTTTTTTTGGACATCCCGGGGTTTCTCGAACTCGACATGGACAGAATAGTATTCATCGTTGTTCCTTGGCAACTTCCAGTTTTTACTATAACCCTGAATGGCCCCATCAAACACCCAAGCTAAACCCCTGGGTATGGTCTGCTTCTTTTCCCAGTTCTCAGGAGCTTCTACCACTTGGCCGGCTTGACAGTTTCTCAGGTTCTCCTCCTCCTCCGCTCTCACTGCTGGTGGCCCCATTCAGGCTGCGTGGATTACCATGATAGCCCCTAGCCTGAGTTTTCACCTCCGGTCTTGCTGCTGAGAAACACCACTGGATTGGATTTCAGAATGAAAACTTGCTTACGACATTCCACTGCTTATACTCACCTTCGGGCCGCAGTGGCAGAAGGCCTGGCGCGCGGTGACTGGCTCCCGCCCTCCCTGCTGGCCAGCGTGGTTCCCAGCAAAGGTGATGTGCCCCTTTCCATCTTGCACGCTGCATGGCTGCCCCTCTCACTGGCTCTCCTCTTCCTTCTCTTTTCTCCGCCAGCTCTTCACTCCTTTTCCACCTTTCCAGACCAGCTTTCCTGTGGACTTTGTGACCCGACCTTGGGCCCCGCCACAGGTGTCAGGACAGCCTGGCCCTGGGCCTCCCTCCTGGATGCGCTCACAGAGTCCCGTGCAGGACGCTAACCATGGTGTTGTGTGTTGACACATGTGTTTCCGTCACCAGTTTGTATGTTCTTGGAAGGGAAGAGCAGTCTTCCTGCATCCCCGGGATCCAGCTCTGGAGCCCGGTGTGCAGTGGGAGGAGCTCAGTGGAGGTGAAGTCAAGACAGCTATGTGTGGTTGGGTGTTGCTGCCACAGAGTGGCACACGACCCCTGCTGGCACGAGAGGGGCTGTATTTGCAGTTGTTTAGGCTTTCTCATTTTCACTCACGACTAGCAACATCAGTTACGCATTTTAACAGGAGACTACTTCACGACTTAAAAACTTGCTCCTTTTTCCCGTAGGTATTTACATAAAGAATTTGCAGAATCCTGGTCAGTTCCCAGATTGGCGGAGGGCTTTGATGTCAGCACTGATGTGATCCGAAGGGTATTGAAAAGCAAGTTTGTACCCACATTGGAACAGAGACTGAAGCAGGATCAAAAAGTCCTTAAGAAAGTCGGGCTTGGCCACTCACTCCGCCTGCTCCAGGGCTCTGGGGATGCCTCAAAGCCGCTTTCCGCAGGCTGCTCCGTGTCGGCCCCTTTGCTGATGGCAGGGGATGGAGTCTTTTCCAAAGGCCACAGTCACAACATGGCTTTGAGAATGACTGAATCAGACACTCAAATTGCACATGCACCGAGGAGACAGAAGGGAAGGGATAAAGGAACCCAGGTCCTGGGGCAGGAGTGCCGCGCGCCTGTGCCTGCGGCCAGGGACCGTCGGAGAGAGCCGCACGAGCGCCCCGCCAGTGCTGGTGAAGGCGCCGGTTCTGGAGGAACCGACGTTCCTGGACTGCCAGGTGACAGGAAGCCGGAAAAGTCGAAGATGGGGGAGCCAGGTGACCAGAATTTCAGCAGCAAAGTAGTGCAGAGGGGGCGAGAGTTCTTTGATGACAACGGAAACTTCCTGTACAGAATCTGAGCCGAGCCGGGCTTGTGGGATGCTGCCCGAAGCACAGCTGGGCAAGTATGTTTAGAGCTGCCTTGATTCTGTGAATGGATCATCTACCGTGGGAGAGGAAGAAATGATGAGCCTGGAATTTGGGGGGAAACAGCTGCTTGGATTTGAATCTGACACAGCAGGGTGACAGGCTCGGCGAAGTGCAGCCTCCTGGGACATTGCTCCTGGTCTGCCCGTGAGGACCCCTGCCCACGTCCTCCTGCCTGGCTCTGTATGTGGCGGCCAGCTCGTTGCGTGTGTTGTTGGGAGTTTCTGATCCCTGCAGTGTGGGGGAGGAAGTGAAATGTGAATCTTCTGACCTTTCCTTCTTGATTCATGAACGCTAAACAGTTCTGTTAGCTGGTTGTTTTCATCGTGCAAAATAAAGTGAAATGTAGCAGCCTGTGGTTGGTGCTTCCAAGGCTGGGAGGGTTTGCCTGTGACTCTGGAGAGGGAAGGACGGGAAGAAGCAGGGTCCATGGTAAACATTGAGGGGTCGTGCAGAGGGATGCCCACAAAGGGCTCTGCAGATCACCCGGCTGGGATGGATTTTGAGAACCAAAGGTGACTGATTTTATTTGCTAGGGGTTGCTGGGTTGTGGCTGGGGGTTGACCACCAAAAATGATAAAAAAGCAAAGCGGGAAAAAGCTTTCAGGCCTTTAGCATCGCTCTCCGGTCACTTTCAAAATTAAATAGTATTTCCTTATTTTCACCAAACGTTTACACGGACGTGCTCTAGGCAGTGAGATGGTCTGGAAGGTTCGGACGTGCCCAAGGCCACGTGGCGGCCGGCACTGGGACTGGAGTCGGGCTGGATCCTTGCCCCAATGGCTCGAACATTTAAGAAACCTTAGAACCTGGTGTTGCCTGGTATGATTTGCCAGTTTAGTGATGGTTTTTGTTAGAGCCAGAGATCCGACGTCAGACCTGTAGGTGACCGGAGTCCAATGACAGTTTTCAGCTGTGTCTTCCTTTTCACAGTTTACCAGCAAAAAATGGGTTCTTCAGACATGAAGAATAAAATGTTTTCCAGCCCTGTCATTGACATTGGCGCATGAGATGTTGCTATATCAACTGTCATAGCCATGTCACTGATGCCTGTTGACATGAACATTTATTCCCCTGTACGGCAAGACCCTGCCATCTGCCCATCACAGGGAACACAGATGCTGGTAAGAACACCCTTGTTTTCACTGCTTTGTCATTCTAGTTTTGTGGTAAAAGTGTACCTTTAAAGGATGTGATTTGCCGGGCCTCCCTGGTGGCATCCGGGTTAAGTCACGGCACTATCAAGCTATTGCCAGCCACTGCAACATGAGTTCGATCCCTGCCGCGGACCAGCCCAGCGGTGGCGGGAGATTGAGACAATCTCAGGGTTGATTGAGAATGAGCTAAAGGTGGTCGAAGGACTTAGGGCGAGGGACAAGAAAGAATGACACACAGACACACTCAAGGGAGAGTGAAAATCTGAGTGCAATTTATTGAAAGCAGTCTTTTCTTTTTATACATTTTCTCTATAATTACTTTCATTGTTTTTGCACAAGATCTGGTTAATCATTATCAAAGTATACGTAATCACCGTAACACATATCATTACATATTGCTTATTATCTTTCACAAGATCATATAAATCAAGAACATTTCATACTGTTATTTTCCCTGCTGGAGGTGTGTTCTAGATCTTCTGATTCATTATTATGATTATGTATTTTCTATTATTAATATCTTTTTAGCTTATATTTATTTCTATATTTGATTATTTTGTTTACTACACGCATTATAATCTGTTTCCATGGTTACATTCCTTTATTATGAGCTTAGTTACTGGCAACATATTTAAGTGGTGCCTCAATCATTCACAGGCCTGTTTGTTCCTGTTGTTTTACACGGATGAACAGGTGGGAACCAAAATCCCCTCGGGGACTGCGTCTGTCTTAGGTTGTCAGGACTCACTTCCTGATCTCACCCGTCATTGACTGTCCAGTCCAGCTCACAGGGGCAGAGAGCATTGCGCCAAGACAGCACAGCCACCCATTAGTGATGCGAGATTGTGGCAATTGTAACATTGCTCTCAGGAGCCGCCACAGATCCCCAGCCAGGGAGGTGACCCACATGGTGCGGCAGACCTCTCCTATCTGCCTGATGCTCCCCTCAGCAGTGTGTTTCAGAAGATCCGCCTGTTCTGCTCCCCATTCTGTCTCTGGTGAATCCTCTGACACACACCACTGCCCCCCACCCCCAATACTCCCAGCATCTGGCCTACACTCATTCTTGTGGGCATAAATTTTTTTTAAAGATGTCATTTGCCATTTGAACCCCCTCATTCAGACTTTTTATTTATTTTTTATTTTATTATTTATTTTTTAATTTTTTTAATAGAGGCATGTTTTATTTATTTTGTTTGTTTTTTGTTTATACATGCACTGGGTACAGTCAGAAGCGCGGGAGGGTGAGAGAATTCACCAGAGCCAGAGTAGGGAGCAGAGCAGGCAGAAGGACCGAAGCACACTGCTGAGGGGAGCAGCGGGCGGCAGGAGAGGTCTGCGCGCCATGCGGGACCCTCCTCCGGTGGCCGGGGATCGAACCGGCGCCACAGAGGCCAAGGGCAGCTTCGCAACCCAGCGCTCAACCGCTGCGCCACCGGGGAGGCCCCCTCATTCAGACTTTTTAAAGATTTATTTATGCACACAAGAACAGGGGTACAGGCCAGAGGTGCGGGAGGATGAGAGGATTCCCCAGAGACCTAGCGGGGAGCAGAACAGGCAGATGACCGAAATCCACTGCTGAGGGGCGCAGCGGGGAGACAGGAGAGGTCTGCCGCGCCATGTGGGTAGCTCCTGGCCAGCCGGGGTTCGAACTCGAGCTGCAGAGGCTGTTGATAGCTTCATAGGCTGCGTCTTAGCGCCTTGCGCCCCCATCCATCATTTTTACCGTGGGAACCCGCCGCAGTTCTGTTTAACTATTTCCCTACGAGGGCGCAGAGGCAGAACTCGGGCATTCCAGGCCTCGGCTGGCCGGGACAGCCCCCGCCGCGCCCCTTCTCCCCCGGCGCCCCTTCTCCCCCGACCCCCCGCCCCCCGCCGCGCCCCTTCTCCCCCGACGCCCCCCCCAGCTGCGAAGCCCCAGCGGCCGCCCAGTGCAGCGCCGCGCGCGCCGGAAGGCCCTGCGGACTGCGAGTCGGTCCCGCCCACTTTCCCAATCCCAGAAAGTCGAGCCAGCGCCCAACCCGCGCTCTCGAGGGGCAGGAGGAGCGGGTGGTCCCTGAAAAACCAGCTCGGCGTCCATCCCGGGGTCGCGGACGCGCGCCCCTCCGGCCGGGAGGCGCAGCCGCAGCCCCGTGTCCCTCCCGGGACGCCGTCCCCTTCCCGGCACGCTCCGCGCGGCCGGGCCCGGGCACTTCCGGGAGGGCACTTCCGGGAGGGCTGCTCCCGCCGCGCCGGCTCGTCTGCGGGGCGTCGGCGCTGCCGCCCGCGGGCGGGCTCCGGAGGGCCGGTCGGGGTCGGCGGGCGCGGGTCCGAGGCGCGGGGCCCGAGGCCCACTCGTTTCCGGGGCGCGGCGGCGGAGCGAGGGCGCCCCGGGGGCGCGGCGGGAGGGGCCGGGCCGGGCCGGGCCGGGGGCAGAGCCGCGCCCGCCCTCCCGCCCGCCCCGCCGCCCGGGCGGCCGCGGCCATGGCGCTCCCCCAGCGGCCCGACGCGCCCGAGCTGCCCGACTTCTCCCTGCTCAAGAGGCTGGCCCGGGACCAGCTCATCTACCTGCTGGAGCAGGTCAGTGCCGCCGCGGCCGCCCCCTCCCCGCCCGGCCCGGCCCGGCCCGGCCCGGCCCGCGGCCAGAACGTTGCCCTTGGCGCTTCCGCGGCGAGTCCGGTGAAGCCCCTCGGGCGGAGGCAGGTGGGCGGCGCCGCCGGGCCCGGCTGCGGGGCTCCCCCGGGGCACTTTGTCGTACCGGCGGGGGCGACGCCGGCGTGGGAAGGGCGCGGCCAGTCCCTGCCCTTTGGGCCGTCCACCAGCAGGACCCGAGTGCACCGCAGGGGCCACCCGGTGTCCCGGGAGCCTCGTTCCTAGCGGAGCGACCTGGGCGTTTCGGGGAGCTAGATTGTGAGGAATACACTTGTTTCCCTTCGTTGTTGGTTTTTCTTTTAAGATGTATTTATTTATTCACACAAGCACCGCGTACAGTCAGAAGCGCGGGAGGGTGAGAGAATCCACCAGAGCCAGAGCGGGGAGCAGAGCAGGCAGAAGGACCGAAGGACACTGCTGAGGGCAGCCGCGGGCGGCAGGAGAGGGCTGTGCACCATGCGGGACCCTCCTCCAGGGCCGGGGAGCAGCCGGGGATCGAACCGGCTCAACCGCTGCGCCCCCGGGGAGGCCCTGAAGGGGTAGATTTTTAAGTCGCGGCGAAAGACTTACTGCTTGGTTGTAAAGGATGAGGAAGAGGCAAAGGCGGTTTGAGATTTCTCACTTGGGCTATTAGGAAATCAGTGCTGCTGCTGTCACTGCAGTGGGTTACACGTTTAGTTGTTTGTTTATTGTTCGTGTTCCCACTGGATTGGGAGGTGCAGAGGACATCTGTTCTCATCAATACCGTATATATCTAGGGAGCATCTGGCCAAGAATCAGGCACATGGCATGTACTTAATAAATACTTGCTGCATGAACATTGGTTGGGCATGAGCGAAAGATGGGAGGAACAGGTCCAGTGGGGGGTGTTGATTAGTTTGGGTTTGGTGAGGGTGAAGTGAAGGTGCTAGTTAGAAATGCCACTGGTAGCCTCCAGCTGGTAAGAACATTGAGCAGATGAAGGTGGGAGCACAGGAGAACCCCAGGGGGTCTGGAACGTGTTTCATTTCTCTTTGATGTCACCCTGAGTTCTAGCACAGTGATTTCCGCATAAAAGCCACTCAACAGATAGCTGAGGAAGTGAAGCGATGCTGGTAAAATGAGACCAAGCATGGACATTTGTAAATGGAACACAGGGGAGGAAGACCCGCCCGCCAGGTGACTGAGCCCGGCCGCGCGGGCTTCTGTGCAGTAACATTCTCTGCAAACCAACTTCCAGCTAAATCCTGTCTATCAGCCCCGATACTCAGACGTCTCGGAGCCATCCTTGACTCTCCCTCCTCACCTTGTACTTGAGTCTTATGGGTATTTTCTTACACCTCACTTTTTCAGTTGTGATTATAAAACATTTGCACACTGGAACATGTAGAAGATAAAAGAAAGTACAATGAAAAAAGTCACCCTCAATCCTACGTCAGACACAAGCACTGTTAATGCTGATTGCTTCTTTCAAGTATCTAGAATTTTCTATGCCACACTTCACGTGTTTCTTAAATAGCCTATATTTGTTCATTTTTCTTCACTCATGGCCACATGTCTGGGCTTCAAGAATCCCATAAGTGGACTCCTGGCTTCCAGATTTTACCCAGTTCCCAGAGTCATCAAACTAAAATTCCCAGCTGATTGGGATGTTCAGCTTCCAAGCTTCCTGATTTCCCCTGTTCCATCAAGGGTCAGGTCCAAACTCCTTAACCTGCTCCTTTTGTGCTCCAATTCTAGCTGGCCGTCGTGGTACTGTTGCCAGCCTTTCCTCTGTATCAAGATCTCCCAACCTTGGCGGTTTAGACCTTCTGGGTTGTGAATTCTTTGTTGTGGGCCTGTCCTATGCAGTGCAGGGCATTTAGCAGCACCTCTGACCTCTCACAGTGGAAGCCAGTGACACCCCTACCCCAAGTCAGACAAGGGAAAATGCACATAGATGCTGCCAAGTATGCCTCGGTTGTCCCTCCTTCCTGGCCGAGAACATGTGACATGCGTTGGCCAAACTGAATCGCCAGCCCCACCCTCCCCACTCAGCCACTTCCTCTCCTGGACGGTGCCGGATCCCCCTCTTGCGGGATTGCTGTTGACACCCTTCACCTTTGTCAAGGCCTCGTTGAGGGGGAATGTCCAGTCACTTCCCCTCCCTGTCAGCAGGCCCTCCTTTCCTTGCCGGGCGCAGACGAGAGCAGGTGAAGCGTGAAGATGCAGGAAGTGGGTGACGGGGCGTAAGCACTGGTCTGGACTGCGTTTTCTGCATTGGAACATTTTTCTTGTGACTAGAAGAAAAACGCTATTTGAAGAGACAGTGCACTTAGTGAGGGGCTCCAGGGCGCAGGTGGGGTTTGGTTTGGTTTGGTCAGGAGAGCGACAGTGCCAGGAGGGAGATTGGGGGGGTGCTAGAGAAAAGGGGCAGCGAAGCTCAGCACGGTCGCCGCTGGTGCTCTGGGGGCGAGTGACAAGGAGTGAACGCAGAGAGCAGGTGAGAGGTCTGTGCCCTGGGACAGGAAATGAGAAGCAGCTGCGTTGGGTGAGGTGGGTGAAGACAGAGCAGCCTGGACGGTGGAGCCTGCTGGTGAGACGCGGGAGCGGAGGCTGCAGGTGCAGGTGGACGTGCTCCCCGCAGGGCGCCCGTGTGACCTGCGAGTGGCCCTGTACCCTGTCTCCTTCAGCTTCCTGGGAAAAAGGACTTGTTCATTGAGGCAGATCTCATGAGCCCTCTGGATCGAATTGCCAACGTTTCCATCCTGAAGGTACCCGCCCCCTCCCCGGGAGGACTCGGCCCTTCTCCCCCACACAGCAGTTATCTTTCACTGAGCAGTGCAGTGCGTGCCCTCCAGGTAAATGCAGGGCGCTGGACCGTGCGGACACGGGCACCGCTTGTACAGGCGTAGTTTGGCTTCCCTGTGGACGGTTTGAGGCTGGCTTGGGGGGGCGGGGGCTGGTCAGGAGCCAGTTCCGTCCCTGGAATCAGCACAAACGGGCCGTGCCAGAGGCCCTGTCTCTGTGTCGTGCCCAGGCGCTTTTCAGCACTCCGAGGACATTGTCTCGTGGGCTTTTCTCTGTAGCAACACGAAGTGGACAAGCTGTACAAGGTGGAGAACAAGCCGGCCCTCAGCTCCAGTGAACAGTGAGTGTCTCGGAGCCTGTCTCAGCTCCCAGCTCGACGCGCCCCTGCACGTCTGCCTTTGAACTGTCCCTGCCTGAGGTCAGGCTCCAGGAGCCTGCGGCCCGCATCACCTGCACTTTCACCGCCTCGTGCCTCAGTGAGGGCTTTCACCGCTTCCTTTTTTTTTTTTAAGATTTATTTTTTATTTACGTACACAAGCACTGGGGACAGTCAGAAGCGCGGGAGGGCGAGAGAATCCACCAGAGCCAGAGCGGGGAGCAGAGCAGGCAGAAGGACCGAGGTGGGACCCTCCTCCGGTGGCCGGGGAGCAGCCGGGGATCGAACCGGCGCTGCAGAGGCTGCGGGCAGCTTCGCAACCCAGCACTCAACCGCTGCGCCACCGGGGAGGCCCTTTGTGTTTCTCAAATTGCACCCTCCCTTTGAAGAATGGATCCCCCAGATCCAGGGGGCCACAGCCAGGAAGGCCACCTTGAAAGACATCATTTTACTATAATACTTGCATTTTTGGCACTTGACTGTTGACCTGCTCCACGTGCGCACCTCTTACTTTGCCTGAGAGATTGTTAACTATTCGAGAACAGGAACTCTGGGTTGCCACCCCCGCAGGGCCAGAGAATACCCCTAACTCGCCCCAGGGTCCCTGCCGTGTGGAGGGGGCCCTGGCGTCAGTGCACGGTAGGCCAGCCTTGGCTCAGATGAGAGCTGTGCCCCGTCAGAGGGCGAGTGGCGAAGGAGCGGGGGGTGTTCCAGCTTCTTCCAAGCTGCCCTGCTGATCCCATGGCTTTCCTCCTCTGCCCCAGACTGTGCTTCTTGGTCCGGCCGCGCATCCGGAACATGCGGTACATTGCCAGTGAGTGTGTCGTGGGGTCGGGCACTGCGGCCGGGCGAGGGCGGCGGCTCTGCGCTTGGGCTGCCGGGACCCGGACAGCAGGTTGTTTGGGTGCCCACCCGTGGGCAGCCACGCTGCTCGCTGTCTCTCGTCTGACAGGTGGCCTTGCGGCGGTCCTTCTGCCCCTAGGTCTCATCAATGCCGACAAGTTGGCGGGCCGAACTCGGAAGTACAAAGTGATCTTCAGCCCGCAGAAGGTGAGTGTGGGTCCCGGGGGGCAGCATGCGCGGGGTGCGTGGGGTGGGGGGCCAGCTGGATCTGCCTCCGAGCCAGGCCCCTGCCCCCGCCTGTCACCAGCACAGCGCTGCTGGCTTCGCGCTCTGGGGAAAAGCAGCCGACTTTAAATAAACAAGCGGGAGGGTGAAAGGTCAACGAGAAGTCCTGCTGCCCAAGCTGGGCCCTTTCTAGATCTCAGAGTTTGGCTCTCGGGTCTCCTCCGGGATCACGAAGCGTGGTCCTCGTCGGCGAGCACCGCTGCAGAGGGCGGAGAGTCAGGGAGGGCGGTGGGCACTCATCGACCCCCTTTTCTCTTCCAGTTTTACGCCTGTGAGATGGTCTTGGAGGAGGAGGGTGTCTACGGAGGTGAGGCGCTGAGGACGGAGGTGCTGGCGCCTGGCCCGCTGCCTTCTGGCCGGAGCAGGGGTGCTGAGAGTGGGGGTGGGAGCAGGGCTGGGATCAGAACAGCAGTGGGGCGTGACCCGGGTGCCGACACTTCTGGTTGTGAGTGACCGGCTGCTGCGTTCTCACTCCGGAACTGCCACGGGAAAGCCCTGCGCTCCCGTGGGCGCCTCCCTCCCGTCTCTTGCCACCCCGGCCCGCACTCCTCCCTGGGGGCCCCAGCCCCTCCCTCCTGCCTCTGCGGCCTGTCTTGCTGTGGCTGCTTTGGAGCCCAGTGGTCAGGAGCATGCTCGGCGTGTCTCCCACTCGCTACAGGCGCGCGCAGCTTGTCACGCGTGTGCCTGCCCCTCCTCTGAGCGGCGTCCAGTTGGTATTTGCCCGGTTGCCGACTGGCGAGCTGCGCGGCCTCTTCCTCTTTGGTCGGCTCCTGAAGACACGCACTGCGCTGTGTCTCCTTTGCTGCCAGGCTGTGAGCCCCTCCGGGGCAGAGCCGGCCCGCGCAGCTCCCGGGCGCCCGTGCCAAGCATGTGCCAGGTGGCGGTGGCCTTCCCTGCCTCCGGGGAGCCTGGTCCTCCGCGGGAGGCTGACGCTCTCGGTACCCGCAGATGTAAGCTGTGATGAGTGGGCCTTCTCCCTGCTGCCTCTTGATGTGGACCTGCTGAGCATGGAACTCCCAGAGTTTTTCAGGGACTACTTCCTGGTAAGCTCAGGGCCCTCCGGTCTTAGCATCTAAGGGTAGGGACGGCCGTAAGGTTTGGTGGGCTGGAGACGCTGATGTCGCCTTCATCCAATTCATAATTGATTATGAGGGATTTGGAGACGGAATGCCTGATGGACAGCCGAGGGCCTTCCTCTGGGCCCATGGAAGTGAGGCCTTGGGAGCCTTCCCCAGTCCCACCTTCCTGCCCCAGGGCTGCTGGAGCGAGCTGCCTTCCAGGGGGCCTGTGGGTTGACCCGGGTCTCTGGCCCGCGTGGTCCTGCAGGAAGGAGACCAGCGCTGGATCAACACGGTGGCCCAGGCCCTGCACCTGCTCAGCACGCTCTATGGGCCCTTCTCCAACTGCTACGGGATAGGCAGGTGTGCCAAGGTGAGGCCGGCCGCACTCTTGTCCCGGGGACGCTGCTTCTCCTGTCCTCTGCCCACCACGGGTTGGCTGTGGGCCTCTTGCTTCTGTCACTCCAGAGTAGAGAAGAATTTGTGTGGCTAACAAAAGGCAAGAGCCAGGGCCTCCTGGGTCGCAGAGGGGCGAGGGGCGGGGACGGTGGGGACAGGTGGCGTAGGGCAGGTGTGGCAGTAACTACCCCCCACTCAGCCCAAGGAGAAGCAGCGCCCGGGGAGGGTTGGCTCCCAGGCGGTACTGCTGGGGGGACCTGTGCGCCAGAGTGAGGGTGTCCTGGGCCTCGGCAGATGTCACGTGATCTGTGGAGGAACCTGGAAGAGGAGGAGGATGGCGAAACCAAGGGCCGAAGGCCGGAAATCGGACACGTGTTTCTCCTGGACAGAGGTGGGTGTGCGCAGTGCCCCGTTCACCCCGAGAAGACGCAGGTGCGGGTGACCGGAGGCCCGGTGGGAGGAGCCTCAGCGTGGGGCAGGGTGTCGGCGCTTGAGCAACCCGGGCAGGAGCCACGTCAGGGGAGCCCTCACGGTCGGGGATCTTGGTTTCAGACATGGACTTTGTGACGGCACTTTGCTCCCAGGTGGTCTACGAGGGCCTGGTGGATGACACCTTCCGCATCAAGTGTGGTGAGTGGCCTCTCGGCAAGACGCGGTGTCCGCAGCCCCCGGGGCGCCCGCTGGGGCCCATGGGAGGGACCCGGGCTCTGAGCCAGCAGCTGGCTTAGTTCCGTACAGCGAGGACGACCTTGAATGGCAGTTCGGGGAAGGGGGAGCAGGAAGGCTTCACGGGGGAGTCGTTAGCTGTGCCCCCTGCTCTCAAAGGGAGTGTGGACTTTGGCCCAGAGGTCACCTCCTCTGACAAGAGCCTGAAGGTGCTGCTCAACGCCGAGGACAAGGTGAGCGTGGCCTCCCCGGATCCCGGTGCTGGGAGGGGAGAGAGGGGCTCCCTACCAGGAACAGTGCACCCCGGGACCCATGGTGGGTACGGGCCCAGGCTCAGGACGCCAGCCCAGCTTTCCCCGCCCTTTGCGGAACAGCGAGCGCACTGCTCTTCCTGTGCGGTGCGCCACGCAGGCGACGGGGGCCCGTCACGGCACTGCTCTGGAAGGTTCTTCCTTTGCCCCCTCGCAGGTGTTCGGTGAGATCCGGAACGAGCACTTCTCCAATGTCTTCGGCTTCTTGAGCCAGAAGGCCCGGAACCTGCAGGCCCAGTATGACGTGAGGCTCCAGGCTCATCCCTTTGTGTCCTCAAGGGCTGCTGCTCTTAGGCTCCCCTTCTGATTGACATGGCCCCCAGCTTTTCTTTGGCTGAGTGGGAACCGAGGGAGGGGTGGGGTGGGCCTCAGAGATGAGAGCCGGATGGGGCAACCTCATGGCTTGTTCCCACAGCGCCGCAGGGGCATGGACATCAAGCAGATGAAGAACTTCGTGTCCCAGGAGCTCAAGGGCCTGAAGCAGGAGCACCGTCTGCTGAGTCTCCGTAGGTGTCGGCTGGAGGCAGGGGAGGGAGCCCTGGCCGCCCGGGCACTGATGGCCGCCCGGTACTCATGTCCCGCGTGGTGTGTGGGAGGTACACCAGCCCTGTGTGGTGTTCCTCTTCTAGAACACACAGCAGCGTGCCCGCAGAGTCAGCCATAGGTCAGCTCTTTGTGCCCTGTCTGCAGATATTGGGGCCTGTGAATCCATCATGAAAAGGAAAACCAAGCAGGACTTCCAGGAGCTCATCAAGACGGAGCACGGTAACTGTGGCAGCCGCGTCTCCTGTCCTGCACCTCCCTGCTCCCTCCCTCCCCCCCTCTCCCGCCCCGGTGCCCAGCCTTGACGAGAGATGTGCTCTGGTGCTAGCACAGATGCACCCACCGAGCTGGTCCCGGTGACAGGCTCTCCTCTGATTCCTCACAGCGCTGCTGGAGGGCTTCAACATCCGGGAGAGCACCAGCTACATAGAAGAGCACATCGACCGGCAGGTGAGGGGTGGGGAGCACCAGTCCAGAGCAGAGCACGTAGACCGTCAGGGGGAGCTGGGGAGCACCAGTCCAGAGCAGAGCACGTAGACCGGCAGGGGGAGCTGGGGAGCACTGTCCAGAGCAGAGCACGTAGACTGTCAGGGGGAGCTGGGGAGCACTGTCCAGAGCAGAGCACGTAGACCGGCAAGGGGAGCTGGGGAGCACTGTCCAGAGCAGAGCACGTAGACCGGCAGGGGGAGCTGGGGAGCACCAGTCCAGAGCAGAGCATGTAGACCGGCAGGGGGAGCTGGGGAGCACTGTCCAGAGCAGAGCACGTAGACCGGCAGGGGGCGCTGGGGAGCACTGTCCAGAGCAGAGCACGTAGACCGCCAGGGGGAGCTGGGGAGCTCTGTTCAGAGCAGAGCACGTAGACCGGCAGGGGGAGCTGGGGAGCTCTGTTCAGAGCAGAGCACGTAGACCGCCAGGGGGAGCTGGGGAGCACCAGTCCAGAGCAGAGCACGTAGACCGGCAGGGGGAGCTGGGGAGCACTGTCCAGAGCAGAGCACGTAGACCGGCAGGGGGCACTGGGGAGCACTGTCCAGAGCAGAGCACGTAGACCGTCAGGGGGAGCTGGGGAGCACTGTCCAGAGCAGAGCACGTAGACCGCCAGGGGGAGCTGGGGAGCTCTGTTCAGAGCAGAGCACGTAGACCACCAGGGGGAGCTGGGGAGCACTGTCCAGAGCAGAGCACGTAGACCGGCAGGGGGAGCTGGGGAGCTCTGTTCAGAGCAAAGCACGTAGACCGCCAGGGGGAGCTGGGGAGCACCAGTCCAGAGCAGAGCACGTAGACCGGCAGGGGGAGCTGGGGAGCACTGTCCAGAGCAAAGCATGTAGACCGGCAGGGGGAGCTGGGGAGCACTGTCCAGAGCAGAGCACGTAGACCGTCAGGGGGAGCTGGGGAGCACTGTCCAGAGCAGAGCACGTAGACCGCCAGGGGGAGCTGGGGAGCTCTGTTCAGAGCAGAGCACGTAGACCGCCAGGGGGCAGGAGGTGGGGAGCGCCAGTCCAGCAGGGGTGGGGGGGGTGGGAGGGCCTGAAGGGGGCTGAGAGGCGGGTGGCCTCAGGCAGAGTGTTATGAAACGGACTTCTCCTTGACTCTGTCTCTGTGCAGGTGTCGCCCATAGAAAGCCTTCGCCTCATGTGCCTCTTGTCCATCACTGAGAACGGTGAGCCCAGGGGCCGGAGACGCCGCCCTGAAGAGTGGTACTTAGGGCGAGAAGACGTCTTTCAGAGACAGACATGAGCAGCTGGCAGGCAGAACGTTCCCTGTAGTGTTGTAGGTTCTTTGCCCTGTAGGGAAAGCAGCTTTTGATTTGGGTGGAACTAGCCCCAGGTCTCGGCTAATGTATTGTTCCAGGCCAGCCCCCCAGGCCCGGCTGCGGAAGGCAAAGGAGAGAGACTGCCTTTCTCCTTCCCGCTGCCTCCTGCCGTTGAGATGGCCTCGTAAAGACAGCGCCCTGCCAATCTCATGAACCTTTCCAGAAGCCCGGTTTCTGCAGCCTTTCATGGCCACCCGTTTCCCTGCGGAAGTCTTGCGCTTACTGAACATCCCCGAGGTGGTTTTCTACCCAGAGAAGTAATTTGCTTGTTCTCCGTCTCCCCCTTTGGAGTCGGAATCCCATTTCTTCTTACTTCTCTGGAGGAAAACGCCTCAGACTGTCCCCTTAAAGTCATCTGCGCCCTTTGCTTGCCCTCAGTGGCTGAACAGCAGTCCCAGTGGAACAGGCACCAAACCTCGAAGCGCCCCCCAGGACATCGTCCCTCCTCCCTCAGCCACATGGTGCCCCACCCCATGACTGGCCTTTGTTTTCAGGGTTCCCGCCTCAGCCCCTGGGGTCAGGGCTCCTCTGTGAACTGGCAGGTCCGGGCTTACCCCTGATGAGCTTACATTTAGACCAGACGCAACATTAGCATGAATTACGGAGTCTCCCTGCTGGAGGGGGATCTGGGGCGGGGTCTGGGTCGCTGTAGTTTAGCACATCTCAGCCGCCACCTGAACCTGGCCCTGCTTTACCCACAGGTTTGATCCCCAAGGACTACCGGTCTCTGAAAACACAGTATCTGCAGGTAAGGCCTGTGCTGAGCATTTGGCAGCTCAGCTGCTGGAGCCAGTGCGCCTGCCCTCCACAAGCCGGGCTGGAGCAGCCCACTGCCACCTGGCTGCACACTGCCGCCTGTGGGGCCGCGGCCATGTGCAGGTCCGTCCTGACTGATGTCATTAAGTGCCGTGTGACTTTGGTTATTCTGATACGAACATCTTTCATGCAGACAAGCGTGTGCTCCCTCAGGGCACAGCAGCCTGCACAACCTCTCCTTGTGTGTCCTCAGCACTAGCCCCTCCGTGGACACTCACAAGTAGCTGATCTGCCTTTTCTCCAGAGCTATGGCCCAGAGCACCTGCTGACCTTCTCCAACCTGCGGCGAGCTGGGCTCCTGACAGAGCAGGCCCCAGGGGACACCCTCACCGCCATGGAGAGTAAAGTGAGCAAGCTGGTGACGGACAAGGCGGCAGGTGAGCAGGGTGCCCCCACTTCCTCCCACCCCTCCCTCTCCCTCCCCCCTCCCCTGCCAGAGGAGAGCGGGAACTGGAAAGGAAGGTGCAGTCTCACTACGGCCGCTAGCAAGAGTCCATCCCCTGAGTGCTGGCGTGCGCTCAGCCCTGCATTTCTCTTCTGATCCCCACAGAGCTCCTGTGGGTCCATTTTCTCATCTCCATTTTACAGATGAGGAGACTGAGGCTTAGAGACTAAGGGGCTTGTTCAGAAAGTGTCAGATTTTTTTTTTTTTGTAAGATGATTTATGCACACAAGAGCTGGGGTACAGGCCAGAGATGCAGGGGGAGAGAGGACTCACCAGAGACACAGCGGGGAGCAGAACAGGCAGACTGATGAAATCCACTGCTGCGGGGAGCAGCGGGCAAGACAAGAGAGGTCTTCCTCACCATGTGGGTTGCTCCCTGGCTGCAGAGGCTGCGGATTGCTTCACAGTGCTGTGCTTAACCCCTTGCGCCACCAGGGAGGCCTGGGAGTGTCCGATGTGAACCCAGGTTGCTTTGCCTCCCAAGCCCATATGCTTGGCCAGTAAATGCTGAGTTTAGTCGCCAGCCAGCGCCTGGAGGAGGAGGAAGGCTGCAGTTAGTGGGAAGGGGGCGCGTGTCTGGGTCCCTTCCAGGGAGCTGTGGGAGGGGCTTGGAGGGGTACAGGTGAGCCAGGCGAGGCTGTTTGGAAGGAGATGGTCCTGTCCCTTCCTGAAGGCGTCGCCTGTGGGTACGGGGAATCTGCACTGTGGGTGACACCAGCCCGGCTTTCTTTCCCAGGAAAGATTACTGATGCCTTCAGTTCTCTGGCCAAAAGGAGCAATTTTCGTGCCATCAGCAAGAAGCTGAACTTGGTATGTGGGCGCGGGCTCTGCAGGCGCCGGTTCTGTGTTGAGTCCCTTTTGTTTTTGTGACGATTCCTGACAGCAGCAGCCGTGGGCCTGCAGTAGCGAGACCAGGCACGGAGGGTCATTCCTTGCACAGACTGCCCCAGGCCTCTGCCCCAGCCAGAGAACAGGCCGAGTGCTACTTCAGGCACAGGCCCAGGGTGTCAGGGCAGCCTCTTTCCCCCGGCCCGCGCCTCTCTGGAGAGAAGCAGCAGGCGCTCCGCGCCTTCAATCCGTGGCTGCCGCATCTGCTGTTGCTAGGGCTGTTGCCGCCTCTCACTCTGGTCGCAGTAGGAGCTGCTCTTCGGGATACGCCGCTTCCCGCTGAGCCGGCACTCGCCTCGCGAGCCCCTCTGCCCCGCAGATCCCGCGTGTGGATGGCGAGTACGACCTCAAAGTGCCGCGGGACATGGCCTACGTCTTCAGCGGCGCTTACGTGCCCCTCAGCTGCCGCGTCATCGAGCAGGTGAGCAGACGCTGCCCTGCCCGTTTCTCGCGCGCTTCCCTTCACCCCGGCTGGTCCACTCGTGAGCCAGCCTGGCGTCTCAGGCCTGAAACTGGCGGTGGCCTCCCCAGGTGCTGGAGCGGCGGGGCTGGCAGGGCCTGGACGAGGTGGTGCGGCTGCTCAACTGCAGTGAGCTGGTCTTCACAGGTGCGCCCGCGGGGGCGAGGGGCCGGGGCCGGGCGGCGGGGGCGGCGGGCAGCAGGGAGCTGAGAGCACTGTGGCCTCACAGATCTCCTGAGCAAGGAAGACAGGGCTTCCAGTGAGTCGCTGCGCCTCATCTTGGTGGTGTTCCTGGGGGGCTGCACATTCTCAGAGGTCTCGGCCCTCCGCTTCCTTGGCCGAGAGAAAGGTCGGTGCGAACGGGAGGGTGACGGGGGCCCCTGGGGTCTGGGGCGCAAAGGCAGCGCAGAGCAGGGCCGCTCTGCTGGCCTCTGGCACCACTTGCTGTAGGCAGGGAGCCCAGGCCTGGCCGTCCCGGCGCCCCACAGCCTGGCTCTGTGTGTGTGTGTCCGGGCGCCGGGGGGCTCTGCGTGACTGGGGTTCTTAGTCATCTCTGCTGCTGCGCTTGTCTTCTCAGGGTACAGGTTCATCTTTCTGACGACAGCGGTCACCAACAGTGCTCGCCTCATGGAGGCAATGAGTGAGGTGAAGGCCTGATGTTCTGCGGGCACTGGAGGCTGCCCTGGAAGTGCTCTCCAGGGACACAGAGCTCGGCTCCCCGCTGCTCACGGGCCGACCCGCTGCGAGTGGGACCACAGAACTCTTCCGGGGTTTTGAGAACTTTCTTTTAACTCAAGAAGCATGGCCCATGCTGACTGGGTGCAAGGGGGGTCCACTAAACCCTGTCTGCATGGCGCTGTCAATAAAGCCGCCCTCTTAGACGTTCAGTATTTCCCTGCGGACACGCATCTGTCTTTGTTGGGGGGCGCGGGGGCGTTCCGTGGGGTTCTGTGCCCCGTACCCGGACTCTGCTCTGCTGCTTCCGTGAAGGTCGGGCCTCAGCGCCTCACACCGGCTCCCTGACCACCCAACCGGGGCGGATCGATGAGCTGATCAGTGAACACCCTTTAATTACAAAGTTCTGCGGTTCATCACACGTCAGAAAAAATACGCCGCTGTTGTAAGGAGACGCTTTACATCTGCGCCTGTTTCTCGCCGCAAGGGAAAGTGTTGCTGTGGCCACGGCGCGCCTGGCCCGCCCAGGGCCCTCCCTTCCGAGCCCCATTGGCCTTTCTCTTTACCACCACCAGGAAGTGTGACCCTTCTGACCCCGTCTCGGAGACCGCCTGGGCCTCCTGACGCTTCGCATCTGCTCCTGCGACACCCCCTTTGTTGTCCTCCTTGGTGGCGGCTCTGACTCCTTGACCCACCCCTCCCTTCCCAGTTGGTTGGCACCTCCCCTCTCTGTCCCTGGTGTCATCCACTTCTGGGTCGCACTGGTTCATTTCCAACCTGTCTGTTCGGCGGGCACTTCTCACTGAGCCTGTGCAGGACGGTGCCCACGCGGCCCTCTGTCTCTCGCTGGAGCCCTGTTCCCTTCCTGTGTCCCCTGATCTGACGTTGTCTTGTCTCCTACCCATGTTGTCTGTGCAGGAAAGTATATCCTCGACCTCAGATGTGTCCTCTTCATCCCCCAGTTCAGCTGGTCCCACTGTGACGGGGCAGCCCCGATACAAAACGGGGGGCCTGACTGTGGGTCCTCACCCACACACGCTTAAAAGGACTTATCCATGCTCCGCTGCAGGCGCACGCGAAAGGTTCATAAAAGGTTTATTCACCAGGGAAGGGGAAATGAGGAAATGCACAACTCGGGGAGAGAAGAGGGAGATGAAGTCTTACATGCGTCCTGCCCGATCCGTCGACCTGGACGCCCCATGGCGCTCTGAGAGCTGGCCGCGAGCCAGGAGCCGTGAAGCCAGGAGGCGAGCGAGGGAGCGAGAGATCCCAAGGCCCACGTGTGTGGTTTTATACCCAACCTGGCTGCTCAACCCCACCCTCAGGTCCCAGCAGCCTTCCCTTTGGTGGTGACAGGATTTGTCCTTCCCAGTGTCTTGATGGCTTTGGTCTGGCGTGGGGGTGGGGGTGGCGTCCACAAAGCCCGTGTGGAAGAAGCTCAGGACATCCTCTCCCCCTGGCACCACTACTTGATATTTCTTTTCTTTCTTTAGCTTTTTTACTGCAGTAACGCTCATCTGCTGGATGCGACTTAGCGGTCCAAGCTCACGCCTCTTCAGATGCATGTTACACACCACACCAGCACCACAGCACCCGTACCCCTCCCCTGTCACCCCTGGGCCCCCTCCCACCTCTAGTAACCTCAGTCCTCTAGTCAGATCTAGGCTGCATTTCGCTTTAATTTATTGGCTCCTTTGTTTTGCTTTTTAGTCCACCAGCGGAATCCCTCCAGAGCTCGCCTTCCTCTTTCTGACTGGCCGCGCCTAGCACCCCCCCCAGTTCTGTTGAAAACGGCAGGGTGTCATCTCCTTAAAGCTGAGGAGCGTTGCGGTGTGTGTGCTGGGGCCTCTGCCTCTGGCCTGGGCACTTGTGTTCTTTCTGTGACTTGGCTGCTATAAATAGCGCTGCGACAAACCCAGTGTATATGTTCTGTCAAATCGCTGCTTTAGTTGCTGGATCATAGGATACATCTCTTTTTAATATTTTGAGAACCTCCATCTGTTAGGGGGAGAGGCTGTCCTAAAGCTAATTCCATGCAGGCTTTGTGGACTCCACCCCCACCCCAGGCCAAAGCCAAGGGCACCCAAGGGAAGGAGGCTGGGACCTGAGGGTGGGGTTAAGCAGCCAGGTTGGTATAGCCAGACACGTGGGCTTTGGGGGGGGGTTCCCCCATTTTGGCTCTCCACCAGCTGTTATAGGGCAGCCCCGATATTGAATGGGTTCCTGGCTGTGGGTCCTCACCCGCGCGCTTAAAAGGGACTTATGAATACTCCACTGCAGGCGCACACACAAAAGGTTCATAAAAGGTTTATTGACAAGGGAAAAGGAAAGAAGGAAAATGGACAACTCAGGGAGAAAATAGGGAAATAAAATCTTAAATGCGTCCTACCCGATCCGCCGACCTGGAAACCCAAAGGCACTCTCCGAGCTGGCCGGACGCTGCGAGCTGGCGGAGAGCCAAAATGGGGGACCCCCCCGAAAGCCCACGTGTCTGGCTTTATCCCAACCTGGCTGCTGAACCCCACCCTCAGGTCCCAGCCACCTTCCCTTGGGTGGGGATGGGATGTGGAGTCCCCAGTGTCTTTGGCTTTGGCCTGGGGTGGGGGTGGCGTCCACGAAGCCTGTATGGGATCAGCTTCAGGACAGCCTTTTCCCCCTAACACATCCTCTGCCATAGAGGCCAGACCAGCCTACATCCCGACCAACCGTTCCTTTTTCTCTATCTCAGCAGCACTTGCTTCTGGGTTTCCCTGATAGGGCGGCCATGCTCCAGGGTATGAGGTGGTGTCTCATTGTGGTTTTGATTTGCATATCCCGGGTAAGTGAACATTTTTCATGTGCCTCTTGGCTATCTCTGCCTTCTGTGGAAAAGTGTCTTTACCTCTTTTGACTATTTTTTTGACTGAGTTATTTTCTTTCTGAGTTCTGTGAGTTTGTTGAGCTCTCAGGTATTAGCCCATTGTTGGAGGTAGGGTATACATCTATTTTCTCCCATTCAGTGGGGTGTCTTTTCTGATGGTACTTCCGTTAGCCACGCAGAAGCTTTTTCGCTCAGTGTAGCTCCGTTTGTTTAATTTTGCCTATTTCCCTTGCCATTGACTTTGCGCCCCCAAAGACATCCCTCTATTATGGAGTGTTTTGACTATGCTTTCTTCTATGTATTTATAGCCTTACATCCAAGTCTTACTACATTTTTAATTAGTTTTTTTGTGTAGTGTGGCATAGTGTGTGGTTTCATTTTTTTTGCATGTAACCAGTTTTTCCCAACACCATTTGTAGAAGACTTTCTCCGCTGAATACTCGAGGCTCCTTTGTTGTAGATTAACAGTCCATACAAACGTGGGTTTATTTCTGGGCTCTCAGCTCTATCCCATTAGCCCATGTGTCTATTTCAATACCATACTGTTTTGGTTAATGTGACCTTGTAGTATGGTTTGAAGTCTGTGTGAGTGCTTACTGACATTTTTTTTTTTTTAAAGATTTATTTATTTATACAAGCACTGGGTACAGTCAGAAGCGCAGGAGGGTGAGAGGATTCCCCAGAGCCAGAGCGGGGAGCAGAGCAGGCAGAAGGACCGAAGGACACTGCTGAGGGGAGCAGCGGGCGGCAGGAGAGGTCTGCGCGCCATGTGGGACCCTCGCCTGGCTGCCGGGGATCGAACCTGCGCTGCTGAGTAATATTCCATTGTGTACATGTACCACACCTTCTTGATCCAGTCATCTGTTTTTGGGCATTTGGGTTATTTCCAAAGCTTAGCTATTGTAGACAGTGCTGCTGTAAACATAGGGGTGCAGGTGCCCTTTTGAATTGATGTTTCTGTGTCATTTGGATAAATACCCAGGAGTGGAATTGCTGGATCCTATGGAAGCTCCATCTTTAGCAGGTCGAGGAATCTCCACACAGCTCTCCATGGTGGTTGGACCAGTTTGCACTCCCACCAGCAGTGCAGGAGAGTTCCTTTTTCTCCACATCCTCGCCAACATTTGTTGCTAGTTTTTTTAATATGTGCCATTCTCACTGGCGTGAGATGGTATCTCATTGTAGTTTTGATTTGCATTTTGCATCAGGGTATATGCTAAGGTAACCGCATACCTCAAGTGTCTAATTTTGACAATGCTCTGTCAAGTTAGTGTTTAAGATCAAAGACTTGGCTGACTGGGCTGTTAGTTTGTAGAATGAATATGTGGCAGAGAAAAAGGTACAATGGCCAAGTGAATAAACAATGGCTTTGCATTAAACTGAACTCCAGAGCAGTGCTGTCCAAAGGAAGTACAATGTGACCCTGGAGGAGGGTCCTAAGTTTCTATACTCACCAGTGTTTCACATCCTGAGTGTATGCTCTGAAGGAACATCACATAGATTTGTTAGCTGCGTGGCTTTGTTAGCTGCAGAACTCCAGTGTGTGGATGTGTAAAAGATGTGCTAACAGGAGGTGGTGTCCAGACACCGACAGCAGCAGCGGCCCTGGAAACATGTCTGAGCTCACAGTTTTTGAAGCTTTCTGAAAATCTCAAGTTCATCAACAGAGTGTGGGCCTCCCTGGTGGTGCTAAGGGCTAAAAACCACACTGTGAAGCAATCTGCAGCCTCTACAGCAGGAGTTCGATACCCGGCCGGCCAGAGAGCAACCCACAGGGCCCAGCAGACCTCTCCTGCCTCACCCGCTGCTCCCCTCAGCAGTGGATTTCAGTCAGTCTGCCTGTTCTGCTCCCCGCTCTGCCTCTGGTGGGTCCTCTCACCCCCTGCATCTCTGGCCTGTACCCCAGCTCTTGTGTGCATAAATAAATCTTAAAAAAAAATGAACATAGTGCAAGTAAAACCAAAAAGCGGTATGATCACATATCATACCCTACATTGCTATGGTGATTCACGATATAATAGTAGTACGTGTAACAGTAAACTGAGAGCACTCATGCAGCTATTAGGTGTGTGGGTGTTCGGTGTGCACACTGCTGCCGCCGACAGTTGTAAAGGACATTGCGAGCGCCAGTGAAGCTCTGAAAGTGAAGGAAAACAAGGTCCTGAAGGTGAAACAACCATCCTTTATATTTTGGAGGCAAATGAAAATTCAGAGAAGTGGCCGTTTGCCAGGAGGCGCGGGCGAAGAGCGCGGCGTCGCTTGTGGACACGCAGCTGCAGGTGGCACCCTGGCCTGTGAGGCTGGCGAGCAGCTTGTGCGGTTAGTGCGGGCCGCCGAGGCGGGAGAGGGGCTTCCAGGGGTGCCCCCGGGGGTGGGGTGGGGGAGGGGGATGAATAACTGCCAGAAAATAATTCAAGGAAAACATCAGAGCAGGTCCAGGGCGAAGGGACTAAAACGACGTTTCCATCCGGCGGAGCCGCTGACCCGCGCTTGTCCTCTGCTTGGAGAGGGGCTGGACAATGGGCCCGGGAGGAGAAGGAAACAGCAGGCAGGTGAGTAGAAGGAGAGAAATGCTGCCGCCCGCCCGGGCGCTCCCAACCCGCTCACTGCGAGCGCCGTCTGCGCCCGGCTGCCCAGCGCCTCTTCGCTCAGGGCGGCTCCGCGCGCGGCGGTGACGGGTCTGGGGAAACTGCAAGCCGCAGAGATTGATGGATAAAGATATTAAATTGTGGGGCCTTCCCGGGGGCGCAGCGGCTGAGCGCTGGGCTGTGAAGCTGCCCGCGGCCTCTGCGGCGCCGGTTCGATCCCCGGCTGCTCCCCGGCCACCGGAGGAGGGTCCCGCATGGCGCGCAGACCTCCCCTGCCGCCCGCTGCTCCCCTCAGCAGTGTGCTTCGGTCCTTCTGCCTGCTCTGCTCCCCGCTCTGGCTCTGGGGAATCCTCTCACCCTCCCGCGCTTCTGACTGTGCCCAGTGCTTGTGTTGCAGGGCAGCCCTCATACAAAACGGGGGGCCTGGCTGTGGGTCCTCACCCGCGCGCTTAAAAGGACTTATCCATGCTCTGCTGCAGGCGCACGCGAAAGGTTAATAAAAGGTTTATTGACAAGGGAAGGGCAAGTGAGGAAATGTACAGCTCTGGGAGAAAAGTGGGAGACAAAGTTTTAAATGCGTCCTACCCGATCCGCCGATCTGGAATCCCAAATGGCACCTGAGAGCTGGCGCGAGCCAGGAGCCCTGAAGCCAGGGGGCTCGGTTTCGCTCGCCCCCCAAGGCCCACGTGTCTAGTTTTTTTGCCAACCCTGGCTGCTTAACTCCACCCTCAGGTCCAGCC